TCAAGTACTGTGTTGAATAGAAGTAATAATGGACATCCTTGTCTTGTTCCTAATTTTAGAAAGAATACTATCACTTTTCCATATTTAATTTGATGGTGACTTGGTTTATCATGAATAGCTTTTATCGTGCTCAGATATAGTCCTATACCTGTTTTTTTCAGAGTATTTGTTATTCTTCAGGGGTGCTGGATTTTGTTGAAAGCCTTTTTCACATCTATTGATATGATCGTGCGGGTTTTGTCCTTGCTTCTGTTTCTGTGGTGCGTTACATTTATTGATTTGCATACGTTGAACGATCTTGGAGCTGGGATGGAACCTGCTTGATGATGATATGTGATCTTTTTTTTTTTTTTTTTCTTTTTCCTTTTTTATCGGTACCGGGGATCGAACTCACGACTGCCTGCTTGCAAGGCAGGCGCTTATGCCGCTGAGCTAAATCCCCAGCCCCGATATGTGATCTTTTTGATGACTTGTTGCTTTCTGTTTCCTAGTATCTTGTCGAATGTGTTTGCATCTGTAATTCCTTGAGGACACTGACCTGGAGGGTTTTTTTCCATTGGGTCTTTTCAGGCCCAGAGTGAGACCTCATAGTCCTATTTGCATAGCCTGACCAAGGCTGTCCCATTAGGCAGCTTGTGCCACTGGCTTTACAAATGGACCCATCACATCACTTTCATTTACTAATAAAATTTTTCCTAATAAAATTAATAAAAAGTCTATAAATGGACTAAATATAATTAGCTGCTGGAATTTTAATAATTACTGCCCAAACATAAATATTAATACTAGTCATAGTCATTAAAATTATTAAAATAATAAATATAGTCCATTAAATTTATTTCTATGTGTGAATTTCTTTAAAACATTTAATACATAAAAACAGCTGGTTTTTGGAGTGCACAAAACCTAATGTTTTTGACTTTTTTCATGGCTGTCTGGTGACATCTATTTTTTCAGATAATTTTTGATGACATTTTCTACATTGTTTGCCTGCTGACCCTAAATAACCAGTTATAAAGTGGATGTTTTCTTTGAGTCATTTGCACCTGTGGTGTTTCTTCTAAGGTTCATAGCTTAATCAGCAACTCCCTGAGTTTTAATACGGAAATTTTACGAGTACCCCAATTGCTGGTTCTAATGTGCACTTATACAACTGCTGTGCCACAAATTAGTCATATTGCAGTCTTTACACTATTGCGTAATGTTTTCCCTAAGGAACTGTAATATGATGGACGGCATGCAGTCTGCTAAATCAGCTCCTTCCTTTGCAGGGTTGTACACCTGTGTCCATGCTGCCCACGAGGAAGCTGGGCAATCCTGGTCCCCGGGCGAGCTCCTACAGAGCTGCACCAACTGTAGGTGGTGACAGGTGGCCACACCAGGAACCTTGGGGCTCAGCACTTGCTTCTGTTGGCTCGAAGCCCATCTTGAGTCTGCTCTGTCCCTGTCCTGATGTGGGAATGGCCCCTCCCTGAGGGGATAGTGTAGTTGGTGGCGGGTTCAGGGGTCAGGTGCATCTGTGCTCTGTGGGTCCTCAGGAACCTGCAGATGAGTCACAGGGAGCTGTGGCGTCCACAGGAGCATCAGCGAATCCCCTCCAGGAGGTGTGCACCTGACTGACCTTGATGGCCCATTTTCTGCTTTCTGTCCCAGGTGGACTGTGGGCTTCCTCTGCCCTCAGGGAGAGCTGTTGGGGCCTCGCCAGGACGTGGTGTCCCTGGTGTTTGGATTAGAGCTGCTGTGGCGGAAGCACTGTAGGAGCCAGGGCTTTGGTCTCTGCTGGGCTCCTGGCTGAATTCCAGGGCTCTCCTGGGAGCTGTGCTGCGGCAGGAGCTGGGAGGTACCATATCCTCGCCAGGCTCAGGTGCTAGATCTGGCCTGCCTGTGCCATCGTCCCAGTTCAGGCTGCAGTTCAGTGTTTGGACTTGGCTCTACTGCAGGACTCTCTACCTGCCTGCAGCTTTGAGCACCTCTTGGGCATGGCATCCTCTCATTGGCTGTGCTGGAATCAGAACTGAGGTTTTGATGTGCCCTAGGAGTAGCTTTGAAACAAAATCATAATTTGTTCCAAAATAGTTCTATTTAAAGGAATATTTTAGGTTGGTTTTCCCCTAGCCGCTTTTGGTGGTCTTCTTAAAAATCATTGGTTTTACTTTAAAAAACAAAATACAGTATGTCCTTAAAAAAATAGGAACATAGCCTGCTTACAAAAAGACTGGTGTTAAGTTAAACACCTAAGCCTCATTTTTTTCATTCAAGCACCAAAGATCATGTTTTTATGTGAGAGAGAAACAGTAAAGATGGAACTGGCCTCATGTGGCAAGGCCAGCAGAGCTGGTGCTGACGGAGGAAGGGTGTCCATCTGGAGGGTGTGCCCTGACCTCAGCTGCTGCCCTCTCTGCCTTGGCTGCCTGCTCTGGGCACTGTTTGCTTTCTCCAAGTGTGGGGTGCACATTAGTGAAGGCACAAGCACTCCCCAAGTCTGGTGAGTGGGAGACACATGCGCTAGTCAAGGCTTCCCTGCCAGAATGCATGGCTTTAGGGCAGACCCTAACTAAAGGGATCTTTTAAAGAAAGGAGCCAGTCCCCAGGGTTGTGTCCAGAGACCTTCAAGAGCTGGGAATGGTGCTGGGTGAGCCCTTCTCTAGCTGCACGAGGCCCTAGATTTGACTCTCAGTACTGAATAGCAAACCACTGAGGAGGAGGACAAGGAGAAGAAACAAGACAAACAAAGGAAAACCCAAGACTGTTTGCCTCTTCTCCAGTATCTTCTCCAGCCTCAGCTGTTGGCTTTCAGCTGCTGACCTCCGATGCTGTGTGACACCTCCCTCGCTGCCACGCACACTCCCCCACTCCACCATGGCTTCCCGTTACTGCTGAATTCCCTTGGCGACACCCCTGCCAGCCTGTCCTTCTCCAGTCAACCCACTCTGGTTCCTGGTTCTCTGCCCTTGGTCCTGAATGCCAAGTATCTGAATTACTGCTTTTGAAGTAGTTTCCCATTCTTTTCAGTTTCTAGAAACAGTCTTAATTTATTGTGTGCCAGGGTCTCATTTAGGTTTTCTGTGTCCATTGTCACCATTTTGTGGAGTAGATTATAGATTTATTTTTTCATATCACATTTATGGGTTAGGCCCACACAATTTAATTGATGTGCTTTCCAAACCCAAGGACATGGGCTGGGGATTTAGCTCAGCGGCATAAGCACCTGCCTTGCAAGGAGGCAGTTGTGAGTTCAATCCCCGGAACTGATAACAAGAAAAGAAAAAAAAAAGTACAAACCCAAGGACATGTTGAGTCAGGGAGGCTAAATGATTTTAAAAACCATCTCTTTCCATGAGGCCTGCTTTCTCCTGGCAGGTAGAGAGGGTCCTTTACCTGTTTCATCCTAACTGCTCAGTCTTCTGGATTTCTTTCTTTTTTTTTTTTTTTAACCTTCTTAAAGGCTATGTTATTCTAATCATATGCAGAAATTTCTGGTCTTATGAACTGGTCTCTTTTATGCCTTTGAGCCTTTGTTCTCACTGAATTCCTTCAGTTTATCTTTCTCCACTCCCACCTGGCTAACAGATGCCTTTTCAGAGAAAATCGTCACATGGCCTCCTTCACTATCGCCACCACTGTCTCCAGAGGACATTTAAGACACTGTTGGGGGGCTGAGGATTTAGCTCAGCGGCATAAGCGCCTGCCTTGCAAGCAGGCAGTCGTGCGTTCGATCCCCGGTACTGATAAAAAGGAAAAAGACAAAAAAAAAAAAAAAAGACACTGTCGGGTTAGGATGGTTATCCCCTGGTCCTGAGTGCAGTGTGATCTCTCTTAGTTAATGAAAGTGACATTAATTGTAATTTGGAGCTAATAAAACCATCCTGTCTTTATGGTAAGATATACCATAATTTATACCCATTCTGAGGGAAACTCTGACTGTGGAATTTATTTTCTCAAGTTGGTCATACGTGGCTGCTTTGTGCGTGTGTGGGCTGAGCCTGTGTTAGGCGCTGTGGTAGGTGACTGAGGTAGAGGGAAGCACCTCGGGAGAAGAGCAGGATGATGTGAACAGAGGCAGCATTTTTCTGAAGGTTGGGCAGGAAGGGAGTAATACCAGTGAGTTGGGATCGTGACAAGTTGTAACGATAGCATCTGACTCTCAGTGTAGGCCTTGGTACCGGCCTGGCAGAGTGCCCGCCACTTGGAAGTCAGTTAATGCCTGTGTCACAGTGCACCCCGATGGCCCCCACTTACGCCTCATGTAATCGTGGTCTGGGTTGAGTTTGGTGTTCATGACTGGTTCGTTTTCTGGCACTGGGATTGGTAGTGTGAGTGCTGCAGCTGGGTAGAGTATAACTGGGAAGAAGGCGTGGTTTCTCTCTCTTCTGCTGTTCACACTTGCTGTTTGTGGCCACCGTGAAAGCTGCCCCTCCTCAATGATACCATTTTGCCTTGGAGCCAATATGGACTGAAATCTCTATCTTGTAAGAAATAAACCTTCCCTTCCCTGACATCGGGCATCAGGTATTTTGTCTCAACAACGAGAGAGAAAAGTATCCAAAACAATCTATTTCATTAAATGAACAATTAACTAGTCATTGAAGTAATAAAAAGTATAAATTTAGATGTTAGGATGTAATGCTTTTTCTTTGATACTGACAGAAGTGTATCATTTGAAATAAAATTCAGAAAACGAAACTATTATATGGTAAGCTGCCGAAATTCATTCTTTGAGAGGGCATGTTGTAATCAATGTGAAACTAGATGGCCAGTATACATTAGAGTAGCTCTGTACGTGATACATTTTTCCTGTTGTAATTTTGAAAAACTTACTAAAACTTCCCTAGTACTGTACTTTGTGTTAATGAAATGTCCCTCAAAATGGGGTTCTTAAGATATTCTTGCTACTGAAATGTTTGTGAGAAGTGTTTTCCTCCTTTGTTTAATTGTCTTATCCTCTCCTCAGTGTAACTCGCCCTTACCCCTTATCCTCCGCACCTCTTTTGTTTTTGCAGTATCTGTTGCTCCTCCTCCTCCCTCCGTCCTACAGGTAACTCCTCAGTTACCTTTAATGGGATTTGTGGCCAGAGTCCAAGAAAATAGTAAGTTTGTCTTCTTTATGCTGTAAGATCAGATTATAGGCATAAGATGCCATTGATAAATGATTGACTGAATGGTCACTGATATTTCAGATGTTTTCATATTATGAGTAAGTCAATGTATGACTAATGGGGATGATAAAATAATTAAGGTGAAATTCTCTGATTTCATAGAGCTTTAAATCTGTTAGTAGCTGGGGTTGTAGCTTAGTAGAAGAGTGTATGCTTGGCATGCATGAGTCCCTGGGTTTGATTCCTAGCACTAAAAACAGAAAGGGGAAAGCTGAGTTGGAAATATAAGAGAGAGTAACAGTCGCATTGGAGATCTGCTGCAGTCACTGGGCAGCCCTCTTTCATGTGCAGGTCTCGTTTCTAGTCGCTGTCCTGTCTGGGAGGTGCCTGGCAGTTCTCTCCCATCCATGATGTGGTAGGACGTGGAGGAGCAGCCAGCCGGCCTGTCCTCCACTGGCCTTGCAGGTTGTGCTGCAGCCTGCTGTAGAACCCTGTGTAATCAGATAGATGATTTGCTTGCACATGACTATCCTGGAAAAGCAGCAGGGGCGCTCAGGAGCTGCATGCCTCCAGATCAGGGTCCTGTCTGAGAGGCCATGGTCATGGTCGCTGGGCTGCACGACGCAGGTGGAATCTGAGCAGGGGCTGCAGTTGACCCGTGAGCAGGTAAGTGCAAACTGCTCGGGGCCAAATTGTAGCCACTTGGTGGCTTACGCTGGGCTTCCCTGGACAGCGTGGACCACTCAGCCAGCTGAGGCTTGTACTGAATAAATTTGATAAAAACTATTAGTATTATAGTTTCTGTTATATTACAAAAACTAATAAAAAAATCAAGTTTTGATCATCCTGTATTCAAACAATTGGACTAGTAAGTGGTTAAAAAACTCACAGATAACACCATAGCCCAGAAATATTTTTATCATGAATACATAAAATACATGTAGGAAAATAGTCTTTATTAATCATATATTATTATAAAATATACACAAACCTATTACAAAAAGTTAAAATGTATCCATGCTCACAGACCGAAGGAGTGTGACCAGCAAGCAGATACCAGGATGCTGCGACCCAGGGCCGGGCGCTCCACAGTCCCTGAAGCTGCTGGCCCTGCCATGGGTGCAGGCAGCTTCAAGGGCTGGCTTAGTACCTTGTGTTGGGTTGGCTGTGTGAGCCCACCAGCTAGGGATGTGCTATAGTCAAAAGTGGGCTCACGCTTTCCAGTATTTTCATACCACAAGCTGTAGTAAAAATGTGAATATATGAAAAGTCCTCAAAAATTGACACAGTCTGTTCATCACCCTAAACACCCCCTCACCTGGAACTTAGGTCCCGTTGTGCTTGCCTCTTTTTGAAGCTGCTCTGGAAGTCCTCTGTCACCAGGGTCTTCGTTGTTGTAGTGCCTCTGCATTTTTCTTGCTGACCGAGGGTAAGAACTGTGAGTCCGGTGCTGGCAGGGATGCCGCATCCTGAGGGTCCCACACTACCATTTCATGCTGTTTCTCGTGGTGCTGGCAGCAGCCCTCACTGATGAAGCACTGAAAGAATGTAAAAAGAGGACTCCCGGGGCTTCGGCTGTGGCAGAATGGTGCAATGAGTGTGTTTTAAGTGGATGGGCTGTTTGGAGGGGAATCACTGGCAGTGTGTTTTATTGTAATAAACTTAAAAATGCATAGTTTGATCACACCGCATACACAGCGGGTGCTGGCTCGCTGGTTAGGCTTCCTGTCAGTAGTGTGCAGTGCATCAGTAGCTAAATCTGGGGAGAGACAGAGCTGTGTGCTGTGCTCTAACTACTGTGAGGCCAGGTCGGGTCAGCCCGACCTTCATTCCACATTTAATGTCATCGTCCAGAGCAGCTCACCCTGTACTCCTGACAAGGGCAGCAGCATTGGCAGTGTGGGTTTGGGGGCCTTTGGGGCAGGCTTTGCTGCTAGTGCAGTCTGAGGGCTTTGATGGCAGAGGCTTTGCCATTTTGTGGGCTGGCTTATCGCCAGCCCCGGGATGTGTGCCATGGAGAGTGCCCCCCCCCCCAATGCTTGTGTAGTAGCAAACTATGTGCTGTTGTCAACACGTTAGAAAAGCAAAGGTGCCTTTGGACTCTGGTTCAAATCCACTTCTCCCGTCTTGAGGGCTCAGTGTTCCTTTGAGGTACCTTCGCATTTCTTTTTGTGGATTTCTGGACAGTTTGCTCACCGGAATGTACCCTGTGAATCCTTGCAGTGTGACCATGCTGTCTGTTCCTAATATGTTTTAAGTTTGAGAGCTGCTTTCCTGACAGTCAGTGGGTTCCGTGGGTTTCAGTTGTGTCTGGAGCCTGCTTTGTTCTGGCTCATGTGGCCTTCACTGGCTGGGGATGGCCGCTGGCCCACAGTGTGACCAGCACCCTCCTCAAACACGTGGGCTGGGGTCTGAAATGCAGAGCAAACCAAGAGATTTGCTTGAGAACCGAGGTGGTGGTGGCGGGGTTGGTTGCAGTTTACCTTCCACAGCAGGTCAGAAGCTGAAACAGTTTGATTGTGAATTAGTGGAGTGATGAAGACAGCCACTTGCATTGCCATCCTCCTGTGCTCCTCCAGTTGCTCTGGTCCGTGAGCTGATGTCACTTTACCCCCAGCAGACCTGAAGAGCAGCTTCCAGAGTGCAGGTCAGCTGACTGCAGATGCGTCCAGTGGTGAGACACACCTGTGTACACAGGGAGAGACGGTGATTTTCCGAAGCATGATGCCTTTAGCTGTCAGCATTCATTAGTGAGAGTCTGTAAAAACATCAGTGTCCGTGAACAGCCCCAAAGTGCTGTTGGGTTGCTCTGTGACAGGGGTGATGGGTACCTGTTCAAGGCTTAGTGCCCTGAGTATGGCTGGAAAACACTGCCCTTCATTCAGTCCTGAGCTCCATCTCAGCTGGAGAACAGCATAAAACCAACTTTGAGGTGTATTGTGACCGACATAGCAGGGTTTACGTATTCACATGCATTTTATCGTCTTCTAAACACTCCCTTTAGAAAGGGATGTTTCTTTCAGAAGGGTCTTCAAAGCTTTTCAGGCATGTTACTATTTTTATTCCTGGTGGTACTGGGGACTGGACGCAGGGAGAGACTTTGCGCTGAGCTGCTGCCCTGTCCTATTTTAGCAGGTTTTATTTTTTATTTTTTTTTTTCTTTTTAAACCAATATCTCAGTAAGTTGCTCTGGCCTTAAACCTCTGCTCCTTCTGCTTCAGCCTCCCAGGGTGGTAGGATCCAAGCTTGTGCTGCCCTGCCTGCCTGGAGCTTGCGATCTTGCCCATTTTGGCAGCAGGCCTTGAGCTGCAGTGTGTGGGGGTGTCGTGGAACTGTTCCCAGTCAGTTACAGGGCACAGCCTCTGCCGAGCTGGGGGATTCCCTTCTGATCCTCAAATGTGCCCTGGGGTCGCCAGGCCGCCCAGCCCCTGCCTCCTATCACCCCTTCGCATCCCCAAGCGGGTCCCTGCACCTGGCGCTGTGCCTTCTTCCCTCACTGCGGCCCTGTGCCCTCACCCAGCTGTTGGCTTCCGGCTTGCTCAGGCCCCCCTCCTCCAAGCACTGCGCGGCACGGAAGTGTCCCCCTCTCCTGGGCCTGGCCTGGCCTGGCCTGGCACGGCACGCACCGTCTCCGGCTCTTTAAACTTACTCCTGTGTTGGGTTTGTCCTATAAGAGAAGCCGTGCGTATTCAGCCCTTGAGAGTGACGCGTACCTATGACAAGCGGCTCTACATCCCCAGTGGGCAGCCCGGGGGACCCCAGGGAAGTGGGAGCCTTTGGGGCGGTGCAGCTGGGCGGAGACAGCGTCTCCCGGTGACGTTTTAGTGTAGTTTCTCAAGGCTGCTGGTCAAGGTTTCTTTCCTGTGTGATTCTGTGCCGTTCGACAGTCCCACTATGTTAGGTCTGAGAAGGGGAAGAAGAGGAAGGAGTGGTCGGCGGTGGTGGCTGAAAAGATAAGAAGTATAAAATATAAGTGACCTTTATTTTGGGAATGCAGGGAGAGACCCCCGGTCCCCCGGGGCGCAGCATCTCCACCCCGGGCCGGCGATCTCTCTCTGGAACACTCTCTGGAACACGTCGAGTGAGGCACATAAGTAGCCTCGGCCTGGGGTGGAACCTAGGGGGTATTAGGGATGCACAGGTAGCCCATTGGTCTTAGTTTGGCGCCAGAGGTAGGTTTGTAAGGGTGGGGGTATAGGGTTACAGGTAAATCTCTAGGGGCGGGGGAGGCAAGAGCTCCCTAATTCCGGCTGAGGCTTTTCCTGGCTAAAGTGTCCGGTCTGGGCCAGCAACCCTTTCACACTACAAGCGCGACTGGGGCGTGTTGTTCTGAGTTCAAGCGGGGCTGCTCATGGACTTGTTAAAGCCATGCGGGTAGCCAGGTGCTGGTCCACGCCTCGAATTCCAACTATTGGAGGATGGGGCAGGATTGTGAGCTGGGGAGAGGGGGGGCGCCCTAGTGAGGCCTGCTGCAGCTTAGCCCCGTGCTGGCCTGGTACTGTGCAGCCTAGGGTAACCCTAGTCCTGCAGAATGGGGACGCAGCAGGAGGACTGGGGCGGGACCGGGCTGGCTTCTCGTGGCTCATCAGGTGGTGGGGCTGGAAAGGCAGGCGCGTGTGCGGGAGGGGAGCCGGGTGCGCTGTGGAGAAGGGACGGCTCGCAGGGACTCTGAGGGTGACCGCATGTCTGGGGGTGCGCTGGACGTTTAGCCTGAAGAAATTCTGAGTCATAAATTAGTTTGAATTAGTTAGAATTTGATAAACAAAACATCATTATGGAAGTTACCCAAAGTCGTTTGTGATTTTTCCTCCATGATTGTTAAAATGCAATTTCAAAAAGAAAAAAATAGAGTAAGCGCTGGCCACCCCTGGGCCCCGAGTGTTTATTATAAGTGAGGTTCGCTCACAGATGTCCTGAGTATTATCGTATCTAAGGCTCCCGGACGGACGCGGGAGTGAGGCCAGGCGGGGGGGGGGGAGTAGGGGGCGCAGGCTTGGGGGTCGCCAGGTCTCGGCGCGCGGGCTGCCGGGGCCCGGCGAGGGCAGCTTGGCTCAGCGGCTCCGCTCAGTTTCAGATGCGCCGCCGCCGCCGCCCGCCGAGGAGCCTGGCCTGGCCGAGTCACCACCCCCGCCGCCACCGCCGCCGGAGGACTACGAGGAGGAGGAGGCGGCCGTGGTGGAATACAGCGACCCCTACGCCGAGGAGGACCCACCCTGGGCGCCCCGCGCCTACCTGGAAAAGGGTGAGTTTTATTGGATTTACTCATTTTTAACCTATCTTTGTCTTTTTTGAGGTGGCAGATCTCACTGCGTAGTTCGGGCTGCCCTTGAGCTCCCTGGGTAGCCCAGGCTGGCCTCGAACTCGCAGCGATCCCCCTGCCTTAGCCTCCTAAGTGCTGTGCATCAACACGTGCGGAAAGAGTGAATTTGAAAAGGCGCCTGGGTGGGCAGGATGCGGTCTCCTCAGAAGAGAGACGACTGGTGCTGAAGAGAAGCTCGCTGAGTTTTTACTAATGAGTGAAGTTTCATTAATATTCGTTCAATTTTAGTGCCTTGCATTACATTGTTCATCTATGCTGTGGGAAGTCATGCTAGTTAAATTTTATAAGCAGTTTGTAAATTGATGGTTATCTATCGTTCTTATTGAACAACCATTTCACAGAGTTTTTGTCAGACAGAGATCATAAGGGAGCAGTTTTCTGTTTCCTGCCAAATGCATCAGGAGGGAGGGTTGTTATTCTCAGCTCTTACTCCTGTTCCCTCTCCTTAGAACAGGATTTTGCACCAGACATTTAAGTGGGACATGTGGAGAAGAGGAGGAATAATGGTTTCTCAGTTTCTTCATATCACGGTCTGGGCCTTCCTCTGTGCAGAGGTCCTCTGGAAACTTAGCTGGCCTGGAGGCAGGGGCCCGCACGCTGCCATCTGGGCTCTGCGCACCCCATGGCACCAGTGCCAGGTGTCCAGCAGGCGCTAGGGAGTGACGGCAGCACTGCCGTCTTCCCAGACCTGATACCTTCATAATGAGGCAGTGAGTGAGGCACAGCCTGGTGGGGGAAGCCGGGCTCCCGGTGCCCAGCCGAGTGACCCCAGCCACTCCCCTTCGGCCACAAGCCCCACTCTTCTACTCAGGTGTGATGCTGGCTTCAGATTTACTTGTGCCTCAGTCCCGAGTGAGAATTACAGGCATCTACTGTCACGCCTGGAAAAAGTTTTTAAAAGCAATTTTTTAATTGGGAAAAACACTAATTTCAAAAGTGATGTAGGGCCTGGGGATGTAGCTTAGCGACACAAGTACCTGCCTAGCAAGTGCAAGGTCCTGAGTTCGATCTCTGGTATGAAAACAAAACCAAAAGAATGTTGACTGATTTTGACAATTACACTACTATACACACTTGAGACTGGCAATGCTACATACTCTTAACCTGTGTTCTCTGTGACAAGTTTGTAGTTAGCCTTGGGTGCTGTAGTTACAGTTGTGTTTAGGTTCTCGGTTATATTTTGAGAAATACAGACAATTCTTTCAAGCTAGGCCTCTTTTAAGTATATCATATCCCTTAATCACAGATTATAATAATATATATGATTCACAGATTAAGGGAGTTACTTTTACCACAGCAGGCCAGAAGTACACGTTTTCGTTACTTAGAGCAAGATGCATGGATGCATGGTGTCAAAGGCTGTCTCGTGGTTGCTGTTTCCCGTTTGTGTGAAAAAAGGGTTCCTTCCATGAGAGACTAAACAGTGTGTGCTGTTCCTGACAGTGAACAGTTGAGGTTTTATTGGGTGAAGTTCAGAGTGGAATTTAAGGAGGCATGGGGGAATGAACAGATTTGGAACAAAAATTAGCTCTTCAGATGGATTTGAGTCATCTAGGAAGCATCCCAATTTCAACCATCAGGGAGATGAAATTTTTGGAACCAGAGATTTTCTGCGGTAGTGGTTGAGAGATCCCCATTTTCAGTGCCTTAAGGAGTAAAAACAATAGGAGCTTACAAGTGTCTTGTCCTCTGAGGACTTTTAGACTGTTTCTGTAAGCTGGCACAGGGTATTGTGTGTTGGAAGGAATATGTGATGGGCCTTCAGTTTGCATGGATGACCCTGGAGGATTCTGTCCGTGAAAAGTGTGCACAGACTGCAGAAAGGAGACTGAAATTTGCCATTTCCTGTCAATTTTTTGTTTGCCTTTTATTACAGATTTTGCTGCACTAGTATAGGTTTTGTTTTGGACCGGGGATTGAGTTCATGACCTTGTGCTTGCTAGGCAGGCGCTTATGCCACTGAGATAAATTCCTGGCCCTCACTAGTATAGCTTTAATGTTTAAAGATTTGCATGCATGATGCCTCACCGTGAGCTCAGCTGATTCTGAGACTGTCTCTCTCCAGGATGTGATTCCCTCCCTATAGACTGTAGAAGGGTAAGTTTGTAGTGGACATAATTCCTCTTCCCATATTGCAGTCACATTAGAATCAAATTTTTGTAGAAAATGGGATCCATTTTACAGGACTGGTTATTAGAGAAAATACATCGAAGTAGTTTTGATTGCTTACTTGATTTTGGTTGTCTTTCTAGGAATATATTTTTTCACATTGCCTTTTTTCCTTCTCTCTAGTTGTTGCTATCTATGATTACACAAAAGACAAGGAAGACGAGCTGTCTTTTCAGGAAGGAGCCATTATTTATGTCATCAAGAAGAATGACGACGGTTGGTATGAGGGAGTCATGAATGGAGTGACGGGGCTCTTCCCAGGGAATTATGTGGAGTCCATCATGCATTACTCTGAGTGAAGCGCAGAAGGCTACACCCACCTTGCAGAAACAGCCAGGTCTTCCCAGGCTGTCCAAAGGCCTTGGGCTTTCCCTTCAGTGAGACAGAATGAAGGATACAAACGATAAAAACTACTTTGTTTTTTTGGTTTATCCTCCAGTATTAAAAAAGCAAGCCAAGTCTGAACAAATGGACCTTTCTGCCATCATTTGTACTATACTGAGCTGTCTGGATTGAAATAAAGTGACCATTTCTGAGTATGTCAAAGGTATAACAACATAATTATGTAGCTAAAATAAATCAGATTAAGACTGATTCAGGAAAAAAATTGAGGATCTTTCTCAGGAATTCTGTACACTCTTGGGCGCTCCCTTCCTGCTGAATCTGTGGCAGTAAACCCATTCCATTGCCTGTGCTAAAGCAAGGGTTAACCTCACGGCCCAGCAGGTAGCCCAGCCCCTCATCCTTTTCCACTTGTACAAAGAGGAGACCAATATTTAAATCCCGTACTTCACTATTTTTCAAATAGTTTGAGATGGCTTTTTCCTTATCAACACTGTAAATTCTGCACTCTCTAGTACTTGGGTGTGCCAGGCAGGTTAACGCTAAGCCTGCTTGTGTCTGATCTTGTTTCCACTTGTACGTATGGGGTGATGTGTGTAAGTCGCCAGGCATCTTGAGGGGGGTGACAGTGGCCACAGTCTCATTCTGACCTGCTGCTGCTGCTTCGGGGACCTCCCTGGTCTGGGAAGGGGAGTGGACTGGCCTGGGCACGGGGCTGGTATGTGCAGCTGGGCAGGAAGGTTCCCAAGGCCATGAGAAGCAAGCCAGGAGTGCGCCCCCAGCAGGCCTGCTGAGTCCTCACCTTCAGTGCTGCTTCACGAAGTAGCTCTTGGAGATGAGACCAGCTCTTTCTCCTTTTACATTTTAGAAAAACACTAGTTTTCGTTTTGAAAGAACAGCAAGTATTTTCAAGTCTCTGACAGTCACTGGCCGCTAACGTGCTCTCTGAATGTTAACCAATGGCCAGTGCTGGCTGCTGCTGCTGCACCCCCCTGAGCTCTAGGGAAGGTAAATACTCATCTGACTTCGTGTGACTGAGCTCTACAGTAGCTGCTTTTAGTAATAATTTGAACCTTCTGAGAATGAGACTGCTGTGGAGTGAGATTAATATGCCAAAATACTTACCTAGTTACACTGATAAAATCAAAAGAATTTTCAGAGAAACAGTAAGCACCTCCCTCTGAACATGACACCTTCACCTCCAAGGAATTTGTATATCTAGTGGCTGCAGTCATAACCTTTGTAATCAATATTAAATACTGGAAAACATCTGGGAGATGCTAGGTGCCCAGTAGGTAAGGCGGTGGTCGCCCAGCCCAGGTCACCAGGTAGCCTCCTCTGGTGACGGTGGGAGGCGACAGTTGCATATGTTTCAAATGAGGGCCTTAAGCATTATGGTAGCGAGGCTAAAGTTGGTTGGAAAAGAAATGTGTGTGTAGTGTGTGAGGAAATGCAGATGGTAGGCAGAAGCTCATATGCCACTTGTGGATCTGTTACCAAAGCATAAAACTTCACAATTTACCTGGGACCCCACTATAGGTCTGCTTATCAAGACTTTTGTTTTAACTTGTAGGTAAAACAAAATGAAACAAAACAAAACCCATTACAACTTAGCAGGTTTGATTTTAGATAATGGCCTTCAATGTTCTCTGAGCCTTTAATTCCACTAACCCAACAAGACTATATATTTGGATAGGTTAAAATCTTAGTATTGGTGCACAGCTGGGAAACCGTTTGAAACAAATAGTTCCAATGGTTTAAGTAACTTTTTGCTGAGAAACTGTAATGGGTTACTAGGCAGAGGGTGTTTGAAAATCCAGTCGCCCCTCACCACCACAGAGCAGCCACAGCAGTGAAAGCACAGTGGGCAGCCTCACCCTCTAGACCCTCGAAGACACTGGCCATGCCTCCGGTGCTGAGGACTGCAGGGGGCTGTGGGTCAGCTGATTTTTTTCTATATTATTTAGTACTACTGCGTGTGATTTTGCGGGGGGGCATATTTTAAATTTTTGTACAGTTTTGAATTCTAGATTGTCTTTGAAGGATACTATGAAATAATTACGAGCCAGGCCTACCAGAATTGGAGACTTCAGTGTATGTAGTATCACATAGGCTGCATGCTGTTAAATAAGTCTATGAGGGTAGTATTTCCTGTTTTATTGTAAGTTTCTACCTTTTATCTTATAAACTAAAAGATGGTGTTAGGAATTTCAAATGAATTCAGATCTTGGATGCTGCAAGATGTATTAATACTGTAGCAGAGATGATCAGACTAAAATCTGCTGACTGTGAACTCGCCATGTTACCAAGGTAGAGGGAATTTAATGAGGCTGTTGTTTTACAAGAGTTTCTGACTATGTGACCACTCTTTTTCTTAAAAAAAAAAAAAAAAAAAAAAAAGCGGAGTAAATAATTGTCCCTTTTGGGTATTAATATTTGAAAGTTTCTTGTTATGTTTGATGATGACCAAGGTAATAAATTGGAAACAAAATCAGTGCCAGTGTTTCAAATTATCTAGACTTGAGAGATTCCACATACTGTTTAGAATAAATATGGATCGTTGAAAATGTCTCTTTGGTATTTTCCATCTTTTGGCCACTTGCTCCTCCTGGTCCTGAGAGGGTCCTGCTGTTCCCATCGTGGGGTTTTGCTGTTACCAACTGTAGGTGCGACACTTTTATCTCCTTTCCCCTCCTGGTACTGCTACTGTTCATTATCCAGCTAGAGAAAGTGTTCTATGCATTTTCACAGTGAGACCTGTGATGTAGCTGTGCTTCTGAACAGTTTCATGATGTTGACTCAAGAATTAAGATTTTTTCTTTTTGGGAGGCAATAAAAATGACTGTCATTTGCTTTTATCTTTTGGTTTTAGCAGGTAACCTTTCTGCATTAAGTACTGTTTGACCTTACCTTTTCTCCTTGGAAAAGCATGGGTGTCTTGAAAGCCACCTTTTACCTGTAAGAAGAGTTTGATGGAGGAATTGGAGGAGTCTTTAAAAAGAATGAGAGCTATTCGCTTTTGAGCTGCTTTGGCGCCTGGGGCTGCTAGGGTGGTAATTCTCCTCCCACTTTAGGTAGAATCATAGAACCTGAGAGTTCTATGAGCTTTTAAGATTTTTGGTTTAATTCAGTTGACTGATGAGGTTAGAGGCTTTGTTTCAGATGAACATTTAGTTAATAAGATCCTGACTCAGTGTCCAGTATTTGTTTTACTGTTCCACAACTGTCTTAATTAAATGTGCTCTTTTCTTTAAAAATTAGTTTTACTTGATGTTTAAGAATATACTTGAAAAGATATGCCATGGTTTGATAAATAACCATCAGAGTATTCAAACTGAAAGTGTATTAAGTGTAACGTTAATTAGTGCAAATAATCTTCATTTACCCCTCCTACGCAGTTTTTCATAAAGGGGTAGCAAAAACGCATTGCCGTTGTTCCACATTGGTAGCACAGCATGGTAAACAGCCTTATTTAAGAGAGCCTTATAAAAACAAGTTATTAAATGGAGGCATTGAGCTCATTAAGTTTATGCTGATTTGTTTTGTTGAGAATATTATTAAATTATGAATGAAATGACAGGGCCTACCTGTGTATAAATGATCCTTGCTAAGTATCTTAAGGTTTTTTGTAAAAAACAAAACCAACAAAACAAAAAAAAAACTTATTTTCACATTAAAATGAAACTTCTTTTGCAACTTCAGAATTCTATGGAAAAGCAGTTTTTATCATATTTGTGTCCATGTACTTTTGTTTCTTAAAATGGTTTATTTACAAAAAAGAATGTAAACAGTTCATGATCTGGCCAGTTGTATTTTTCAGCTCCCAGAGGGAGAGTTGGTGATGCTGAGTAAACCCTTCAGGAAACCTGAGGGAAACCGTCTGCTGCCAGTCCTGTTTGTGTGTGCCATAAACCACCTCCAGACAAGGAGGAAACACTCACTTTTTAATTTTTTAATTGTATTTGGAATTACTGCTGTGTACTAAGAACTTGACCTAAATAAAACCACGAAAAATATATCTGAATGTCTTGTGAAATTTATATAGGTGATGTCAGTTTTTCATTCTAAGATAGTATTTGAGTATCAAAGATGACCCGGCTTTCCTGTTGCTACTTAGGAAGTGGCAACTGTAGAGTGCCTTGCTAAGGCATTTACATTAAAGGAAAGTTTTGATTTTGAGAGGGCTTCCTCTGGTTTATGGGTAGGAGGAACATGCTGGCGCGAGCGGTCAGCTCTGCAGAGATACCTGTCTGTTGCACAGTCTTCTGTTACAGGTCTGTCCCTCAGTTCCTTCTGGGTTCCTATAGAGCACATAGCTGAAACACCGTGTGGATGGCACACCACTCCTTTCACTGCCTTGTCCTGTGTACATTCTTCCTCCAAAACCAGAAGGACGAGGAGGGCAGTTTGACACAGTGCTGGTTGGTTTCTGAGTGGTGGCAGTGTGCCCGTTCTTGGTCCTAGTGTGGTAAGTGGTGATTGTAAACACAGAGAGGCACATTTGTGTTGGGCTCCTGTGTCACGACACACACGACAGTGATTCCAAAGCTTCCAGGCACAAATATCCCTGTTTGTACTTGACTCAAGGTTTAAAAAAAAAAACAAAAAAAAAAACTTTAAAAGCCATTATCTTTTAAAATGTGTTTAATGGCCAAAGCTCCCCAGTCTGTTACAGATAACTCTTAAAGCTAACATTGAACACATCAAACCATAGTTTATTAGTCTTTACACTTAATTTGTTCCTACGGAATAGCATTTTTGGTACCCCAGGTTCTTAGTGGTGCCCATCCACAAAATGTCCCTGTTCAAATGCGTTTTAAGGTTTGAGATTGGGTAGGTTGACATAACAAAATGCAACTGGAAAAACAAATTTATACTGAATGTATGACTGCTGTCCTAACCCATTACAATAGTTTACTGACAATAAGTTGGAAAATAACTTAATCCAGCAGAACAAGAACACCATCAGTAGTACTGAATATATTTCTCTCTCATATATATATATATATATATATATGTGATATATGTATTATATATATAGTTTTGCGAAATCTGGGAGCAAGGCACATAATGAAATGAGCATACATTTAAGCAGAACAAGTAGCAACAAAGCTAAAAGAACACTTTCATCTTCACAGAGCTGTGCATAATCCTCTGAATAATGTCCTCTATCCAGTACTTTATAATGCAGTTCCTTGTCATCTTTCCCATGCTTTAAAAAGTACATTTTCTGCACTGTATATCAAATGACAAAGTTCCCGCAGCCAGAAGTCAGTCAGCCTTGAGTGCCACCCCCTCGGGAAGGGGAGGAAGCAATCCCAGTTAAGTAAAATGTGCAAATTTCCTTTAAAATAGTAAACAATTAACAACACTGAGCAACTAGTATTTTACTTAAATATGTATCTCTATAAGAAGAGTTCACTAGTAGCTGATCATAAAATTCAGCAAAATTCATTTGAAACATTCCAGTTAATGCTTGTTTTCTAGGAGGGATTATTTACAAATAGAAAAGTTTTAGGAGGTGGGAATCATGATGAAAAGCGGCAGTTTTTGGTATTAGGTAGACCATACAGACAATGAACAGTGGACAGTTTTTGAAGTTTCCCCTTGGGAGAGTGCAGGCAGGTTGAAAACCTCAGCAGTCAAGTGCTTGGTGTTAACAGCCAGCCACGCCCCCCCCTCCCCCCAACTCGCTGTCAGGACAGAATTGCCACCCTGACTTGATTCATTTCTCTTAACATCTTTGGTAGGAGATAGCCAGACTTACTTAGGTAGATGAAGTCCATCTTTTTGTAGGATCATCACTTTTCTATTTCTGCCAACACAGCTTTCATTAGCACCTCAGAAAATGCTATTCTGCTGAGTTAAAGGCACAGGGGCTTACAGCAAATACCTCTCTCTCCTAAACGGTTCATTACTTCAAATAAAGAGCAAACCAATTTGAGAGGTTCCCCTGCCTTCAACTGTTTCTCAAGGATGTTGCTTCTGCTTATTTTTATCGAGCAAGTTTATTTCCAGGCTATATTTGATTTCTATTATATAGTTCTAAGGTCTCAATAAGAACTGAGCACTATTTTTTGTGGGTTGAAGTACTAAGGGTATGAAAATGGTCTTAACATCTGGAAAGGAAATGAGCTATTTGATTCTGTTGTACTTGCATTTTCTTTTTGGATCAAATCTCCCCTTAGTGAGAGATTACACTCCTCCAGGGTCAGAGGTATCCTTTATACAAATGAAGATGTATAGAAAAAAATCAACACCAGCCTGTGTTTGCAATCTAAAAGCATTTTTAAAACAATGTCTCAGCAAGTGTGTAAGTTATATCTACTTTGTTAAGAGCAAGTCATTATACCACTGAAAGAGTGATACTGGTTTATTTGGTCTAACCTTTATTAAATTCTGTAGCATTACATCAGCTGAAATTTTTGAAGGTCTATGAAAAAAGTCTGGTAATGATGCATGGAAATAGGAATGAACTATTTTTAATTGTTTAAAAATTACCTTGTGTTTGTAACAAACTGATTTAGCTGAAAAAGGTGATTGGGTTCTAACTTTCAAATCAAACCCAAGCCACACCATTGCCTGAGACACTGTGTAGCAATGTTTACCATCCAGCATCCTTTAGGTAAGTGTCTTACCAGCAGTATTCTCCCAACATAGCAGTTTCTGAAACTTGAACGCACAGTTCCTATAATCTTGATCTCAGAACTGTCACCATCAGAATTATGGTCTCTACTTTGTTAATCTTTCTTGATAAATTCTTCATTGACTTTAGTGACAAGGTCCCATGAAGGGACCCAAGGGTGGGTCCCAGTCCTCTTGAGACATACTGCCAGTGGTAGAAGCACCTTGATTTTGGGGGACTGAAACACTGTCATCGCTGCATTACTGTTTAAAATCTTGTGAAAAGTTCCCTGCAACTTAGAAGTCCTAAAAACCCAGTTTATAGCTGACTGGGCATCTAAAATCCTGAAGGATAATTTTCCTTTCCAAGTGAGAATTTGACTATATAAGGAAAAAGTATATTCAAATCTTTTGAGTAGTGAAGGCCAACTTGCTGAAATTCAACACAGAACTCTGTATTTAACTGTCTCTAGTAAAGGCAGTCATTAGCTAAGAACAAGATCTGCTGCGATGCAGCTGTGATGCTGTCCCCAGGAGTGAAGGTGGTCGGTGCCTGCGGCACCAATGGGTGCTGGGCAGAGAAGCAGCCAGCACAAGCAGGAGCAATACAAGTGCTGTCTGAGGGACACACCAGAGACGGAGCCACAAAAATACAGTCTCGGCAGGAAAAGAAAAAGCTCCACACCTACATTCCAACCAAAACCCACAGAGAAACCCCACGGGGAAGTAAAGCCCTAGAAGTACAATCAGAGTCACTTTGGTTCCTTTGATGCACTTATTGCACACATAAGATTAGAACAAAACTCGCTGTTTACATTTTTGGAGGAACATAAGAGGAGCTGCCTCTTGTCAAGATGGGGTCAGCCTCCGGCCTGCTCCACTTGGCACGCCAGTGACCACACGGCTGGCTGCTGCTTCAGGAAAGCACAGCTCAGGTGGCTGCAGCTCAGCATGGCGAGCATGAGGATGGATGCCAACGAGGCCACCTTGGTAGCAAAGCCTGCTCTAGGACACAGAGGTGAAGGTAGAGATGTATTACGTTTCCTCATCAAGAAACATAGTCTGCTTTCATGAAAAAAAAAAAACAAAACTCAAAAACCTTAATGGAGAGTATTTAGGTAGCCTGATTTATGAGTAACTTTACCCTGCAAAAATGCCCCAAAAGCAACAAGTAGAAGCCTGTGGAAAGGCTTCTGCCCCGGAGCGGGTGCAGCCACGCAGTCTACTTTCAGGGTACCCACACCGCTGTGCGAGCGTGGGTGACACAACTAGGGTGAAGGGCATTTCCTAAGCATCAAAGAAAACTGCGTGCTTTTAAAAGACGCAGGTTACAACAAGATGCAAAGTTGTGTCTTACTGCTTCCCCCTGGCATGACTAGACTGAACAGCTCCTGGCGATACCCTGGGAAGCACAGCTTCCTCTTACCAGAGGCAGCTCTTTCTTAGAGAGTGGATTACAGTGATGCCTTGCACACCGTACAACTTTAATTTATTCTTGTTTACCGTCTGTCGCCTATTCACTGATGTCACTTTCTGCGGTGGGGAAGCTTACACTGGTAATCTTCATGACAGGAACAGACTTTCACTTCAAGAGGTGTCATTTCTCATTGCTGGGTGGCCAAGTTTTATTCTTGTTTGAGTGCAGCTCTAAGGTTGCTTTTATTTGTGACGGTTTATCCAGGTAAACTGATGAGACAGTACGGTACATACTTGTCTCACGTACAAAGGAAAATCAATAGAAAAAAATACATAGCGTGTGAAGCTTAGAGAAGCACAGGGTGTTCTTGTTCTGCCAAACTGCATGTGCACGCTTTGGAAGGTCAGATTGGCCGGGCACCTAGACCTGTGTCCCCAGCCGGCAGCGCGCTAGGCAGCACACAATCACCGGGGACCTCAGACTCCCTCAGCGCTAGTCCCATGCCTGGTGGGTTCTCTGAATTCTGCATTATGGCTCATCTACTGCCTGGTTCATGACATCCATACAGGACCCGGTTGTGTTCGTTCTTCCTCTTTCAGAGAGCAATACACAAAGAAGACATATTTCAGAAGGTGGTTTTTTTTTTTTTTTTTTGTTAATGCACTGTATTGGGCAGAGAAGTGTATTATTATATACCGTTTACAGATTTCAGCATCCACCTAAAGTATACACCAGAGAGAAGGTTAGCTGGTGACCCGGGCGGACCGGGACAGTGCAGACTGCCTTAGACATTCTCAAAATAAACCTAAAACAACCACAACGCCAAGTTGACGAGACAGTGCTCGCAGCAGCCAGGGGGGCTGAGGGTCGGGGTCACATAGGTTTCCCTCTGAGGAGCACTGCTGGGGCGGGGCGGGGCGGGGCAGGCACACCAAGGGTTCTCACATGGGGCCTGAGGACATTCCCTTCCTGAATGCTGTGCCCTCTACCAAGCTCACATTGCTCTCCTGATTTAAAGGGCCCCGCAGTGGAGTCCTGAGGCATCTCTCAAGCAGCTCCAACTCGGCCAACTTGGGAAAACCAAACACAAAAGCTATGCCAAACACTTTCTCAAACGGAAACGTGTTACACACTTAACTGTGTACTATACGACATGCACGAGGAGACTGCACAGACACTTACAAAATACCTTCTTAGTAAGCAGAAGGTTTTGGTCCAATCTACATGACAGACAAATCCTAAGACAGTAAACAGCCCCGTCCATGCCTCTTCCACCCCAAATACGCAAAACCCATGTTCAGATTTGTAGAGGGAAGGAATAAATACAACTACTCTGTTCTCTACATACATACTTACAAATACACTTATGCACACACGTGTACACATACACGCACACACACGGCCGGAAACTACCTGAATATCATCATACCAGGAGGCTCTGACCACCTGAAATCACAGGTGACCAGATGAGCTGATTGTAAAACCGATTACAGAGAGCGCAGACATCGCTTCAGGTGCTACCAGTCCCTCGAAAGCTTGGTGCTCTGGTCTCTCTTGGGGGGAGCGGGAGGCGGCCCCCTCCGCAAGGTTGCATAGCCTGATATGTGACTGCCCCCGTAGACAGCCTTCTGCGGGTCGGCGAGCAGTTCAGGGGGCGGCGGGGGAAGGGCCATGTCATCCATGGTGGCAGTAGGCTCGGCCCGGGACACGCGTGTGGAGGTCAGCGAGCCGTGCCGGGTGATGGACTTCCGCTGTAGGGTCCGGTTGAGATCAGCCAGGAATCCAGGCTGGACACTAAGGCTGGACTTGGGAGATGTGGGCACTTGTGGCACGACTGCAGCCAGCGTTGGCGGCTCCGGGGGCTCTACCTGGGTGAGGCGGGTGCTGTCGTTGCGCTTGGGTCGCGTGGGCGGAGGGGCCTTCTTCACGGACGTCTTACACCACAGCTGCGGCTGGGGATTCACCACGGCCACTTTGGGGGAGGCGGTTCCGCTTCCAGAAAACACCGGCGGGATCTCCACGGGGGGCAGGGGCAGCTCGGTCTCGGGGGGCGGGGGCGGGAAGTCAGAATCTGATGGTGGTGAGGGGAACTCCAGCCCTGAGTCCTTCCCGCGCCCGCCTGGCACGGCGGCTCTGGCAGGCGCCTCTGCCCCTGGCGCGCTGGGGAAGGCAACCCCGACCCCGACCGCGGAGAGCTGCAGCTTCCCGGGCTTGGGAGGCGCGGGTGGCGGCGGCGGCGGCGGGGCCTCATCGGCGGGCGGCGCGAACCTGCTCACCAGGCTGTCCACCGAGGGCCTCGCGGGCTCTGGCTGCTCGCTGCCCACGCCCCCCACCCTGATGCTGGAGTTGCGCTGCGGTGCGGGCGGCGGCTTCTTTCCCCCGGGGCTAGCCAGCTTCCCGGGCTTCTTGCCCGGAGACCCGCCTTTATCGGAGGCCGGGGCCACGGGGGGCGGCGGTGGAAACACCAGGCTGTTTTCTGGCGGCGGCGGCGGGAAGTCGGGCGACGGGACAGGGGCGGCACCGGGCTGCCACTTGGGCTTTGCCTTCACGGCTGGGGGGGACTGCGGCGGGGGGTGCACCGGGCCGGGCTTCGGGGGCGGCGCGTCCCCGGGAGCGGGCGGCGGGCACTGGCTGGCCAGCTGTTTCACAGCAGCAGACGCCAGCGGAGAGGGCGGCGGCTTCCCGCCGAAGCTCTGCTGCTTGGGCAGCGTGGGCGGGGGCCCCGGTGCCGTGGGGAACGGCGGCGGCTTCTTGACCGGAGGCGGCGGGGGCACGGGCTGCGAGTGGGGGGCCTTGGGCAGCGGGGGCGGCGGCGGCGGCGGGCTGAACTGCGGCAGGGCCGGGGCGCAGGGCGCCGGCTTCAGCTGGGCCATCGCCGAGCCGGGGGTTGGGGGTGGCGGAGGCGGTGGCGGGGGCGGCATGTCGCCGGTAGGGGGCACCAGGAGCTGAGGCTTGCTGGCTTGCGAGGCCGCGGGCGGCTGCGGCGCCCCCGGGGGCGGCGGCTTAAACAGGGAGCCCGAGTGCTGCGCCGCGTGCTGCAGCCGCGCGATGGTGCTGTACTTGACGAAGGTGGGCGCGGCGGCGGCGCCCGAGGACGGCGTAGCCTGGCTGGGCAGCGGCGGCGGTGGCGGTGGCGGCGGAGGCGGGGGTGGGGGTGGCGGGGGCAGCGGGGGCGAGGGCTGGGAGGCCACACAGGGGGCGCTGGGCCGCATCTGCGGGGACAGAGGGGTCACCAGCGAGGCGTAGGGCCGACACAGGGACTCCGTCCTGGCCTGGAGTGGGCGAGAAGAACACAGGGAGGGAGCCCAGTTAGCGGGAAGGCTGGGGGCAGCTGGGCACGCGCTCCTGGGGCGAGGGCGCAGGACCACGCCACGCCCACCCAAGAGGATGTGCGGGAGCTAAGGTAAGAGGCGAGGGCGGCTCGGCCCGGCCCACGGACTTCCAAGGGAGCAGCCTCGGGCGCCCCCACCGGTCCCCACTCACGACGCCTGGCAGAGAGCAGGGGTGGCAGGCGGCAGGCTCCGAGCCCCGCCGTGCCAGCGTCGTGGGCAGCGCCCGACCCGGCGGGCCTGCACCTGAGCCACTGAGCTGGCCGGCCCCCGCTCCTCCTCGGACATCCGCTCCCCAGGGCGCACGCGAGGCGCAGGAATGAGCACACCCCAGGAGCAAGGGGAAGTACCCCGAAGCGCGCCCACCTCCCGGGCGCGCGCGGTTCCGCTGGCCAGGCGGCTCTCCGGACCTCGCCGCTCGCCCACGCTCCTCCACCACCCCCAGGGCTGCCGCTGCCTGCAGGCCACTTAGCGAAGAAAAGTTCCAAGAAGCAAGAGCACCGCCAGCTGGGCGCTCGTCTGTGAACGGCTGGAGCCAGAGGCTCGTGATTCCTGGGCAAACACCAGGCCGGCTTCCGCTGTGCGGCGCCCACCTGACACCTAGCCTGTCTTTCAGCTGCGTCCAAGACCTATTTTCTCGGCTTGTCGTCCTGAAATAATGACGCTCACTCTTCAATGTCTGAAAAATCTGCGCAAGCCTCAGCAACACAATTTTCAAGGGACTGATTTGAATTCGGCCTTCTATCATAAAGCATAATGAGAAAATTCACCAGCGTCCGGAGAAATGCCAAAAATCGAAAAAGCCAGGAAAGAGTCTGATTAAATTCAATTAATAACAAATAACTGCAAGCAATTTCTCTGGAATATGCACAGCTGCAGGGCACGGGTGTCAAACGGTACACTCCCTCCACTTGTTAAAAGTGGGAAGGAGAAGAATGTTTTGTCTCAAACATCTGAACCACTGTGACACAGGAGTTAAATAAACTGCAAGCTTTGTTTGGTGTAGACTATTAGAGTGAAACAGCAAACAGCCATTTCCCAGAAGTCAGATGGGCAGGTCTCTCTTGGGCTCTTCATTATGCTTGGCAAGCGGGACACCTGGGTGCCGGGTGAGAGCCCTAGGCGGAGCCAGCAGCCAGCAGCAGCCAGCAGCAGCCAGCAGGGTTAGGGTAACCCTCAGTCTTTCCCGGCGGGTCATCCAGCCCGCTCTTACCTTGCTGCTCTCCTCCAGCTGCGTGCCGCGCTTCCAGGCCTCTGAGAAGATGGAGCTCACAGCGCTCTGCGAGCGGACATGGCCCGCGCCTGCCGGCGGGGTGTCGGACACTCCGCTGTCGGACTGGTTAGAATGGTTGGACTGAGACTCTGTACAGACAGTGGAAAGCAGATTCAGTCAGCTGTTATTCTGACAGGATAAACACGTACTTTATGTCCTTCACAGGACCAAAAGCTATGTAGAATGGCAGTTAATTTTACTCAGCTCATTATAAATATCGTATTTTTCATTAGAAAACTTTCCTTATCTCAGGAAATAGGGGGAAAATTCTTTTGAGACAGGGTCTCATTGTCTTGAATCTGCAGCAAACCTCCTGTCTCAGCCTCCCGAGTGCTAGGATTATAGGCATGTGCCACCACTCCTGCCAGTAAATCTTTTGACTCTGTAAGTAGTTCAATACGAGACAAAATTATAGTAAAAGAGCTCTGTTTTGATGAGTTTGTGTTTCTTCCTTCTGATTTGATGCTTTTTCCTTGATTGGACTGAGACCATAGATTTGGGAAGAAGAGCGCAGGACAAGGAAGCCCAGCCCTCACATTCTCTGAGGGACACCTGCCATCAGCCGACTTCCTAGTGACCACACTGACTGTGACGGCTGGGTTGAAGTTCTCTGTGTTGGGCTCTCAGCTGGCCTCGGCCTCTTCTACTCTTTGAGGAGCGGAGGAGAGACCAGGTCCACCCCCTGGGACAAATCTGTCTAAGTAAACCATTTGAAAATCTTCTGTATAAACAGATTAGTCTCTTCCTTGTTTGTTCAGTGATTTACTCATGTTAGTATGGACTCAAGGATGTTTATTTTATGATTTGGAATATACCCTATACTACAGTGTTATCTTTTGTTGTCTGATTCTTCTGGCTTTGGCAGTGGGACTTAGGTTGACTCCTCAAGTCCTTTAGCATACTTGGGTAGTCTTACTGTTACTGGGGTATCACTGCTTCTAAAGTCAGTAAACAAAACTAGGAAATATATGGGTACCTACGTATACACATTCTAAATTTTAAAAAATGATTTAGGGAGGAAATCATAGTTTTTTAATCAGTGAGCAACAAAAAAAGTTCTGCTTTTAGGGGTCTTGAACCTCACAGAGGGAACATTTTTGAAAGTGAAGAAGCAATTACTTTACAACATAAACTTGTTTAAACTTGCTTTAAGGATGTGGGAATCTCTTAAGCCCTATTTGAGTATCACTGGCTTCCAGTACTGCAACTGTGAAATAGTTCCTAGCATTTCCACTACACCACAATGTCAGGAAACCTGTGGGGAAGGAGGGTGGCCTTCTCACAGACTCTGAGAACAGTGATTCTGCCAAGCAATTTTTTAACCCACACATTTCAGCAGTATGTAATGGGTTTTGAATAAACGTCTAAAAGTCTTAGCATTGGAAGTTACATATACTGATTTGAGAATTAGTCCATGATATTGTTCACTCTTAACAGTCTGGCTCTGATTTTTATGAGTCAAGTTTGAAACGAGCAGGTCTACTGTTGGTCTCTGCAAGGCACTAAAAAAGCACTCGGAGGCATCTGAACTACCTGGGATGCTGGAAGAGCTGGATCCTGATTTAATACTGGAGCTGGATAAGGATGTCCAGTCATAGGCAGATTCTGTCCTCTTCATAGCTTCTTGATAGTTTGCGTAGAGCTGCTTCCCATACTAAACGGAGGCAGTAAACGGTGACAATGAACTGTACTTGTCATCAGAAGGATGAGGTAGCAAAGGGGAATGCATCTGTTTACTGATTTGTAGTTGTATTAATACCTATAATGCTCCCAAGTCGTCAAATACTAGCAAATTATAATCTTTCCTCGATTATATAAGAGCAGCAAGAGGTTAACAGTTGGGTTTTACTATTTTCATTATAAATATAAGTATTTTTTCACCTCAAATTCTTGATCTAGGGCCTTATCTTTAGCACTATTAAAGATACTGCTCCAAATCTGGTTGCTAAATGAAGATTACTTAAATAAAAAATTACTTTGCTTAGGCTAACCTGTGCTATGAGAGTCACATAATACATTCTCCAAAGACAAAATAAATCACTGTAATACAAGCTTTTACCAACTGTGTCCATGAATATCAACTGTTTGTCACTACCAAGAAAAAAGGACAGCATTTTAAAAAAATCACACTTAAGGCCTGAAAAATAAAATACTAGCAAAATCACCAACACAAGACAATGAGAGTAACTGCCATGAAATCCGAGTGGCATTATTAAACAGCCATCCTATCCAGATGCACCTTCGCAATTCGGATTCCATTGACCCACTGATGCAAGGTCCTCATGTCGTCACAGCAGAGGTATTTGATGTACTGGGATTTCTTCTGGATCTGTGGGTGCTGCAAGAGTAAAGGCAAAATCCAAATAAATACGGAGAGAAGTAAGCTTTATCAAAGTTTAAATTTATCCTGGTAAATTATTAGAATGGCCAAGTAGTAAAAGTGTTTCTTCGATTATCATAAGGCCAAATAAAACAGCCCATGTACAGTGGGAACAGTTACATTTTAGATCAGTCTGTCCAAGTTAAAATAAACCTTCACACCGTGGTGAATCCTCAAATATCCTTCGTTTGAAAGAAACAAAATCCATTAAGGTTAACTCAGCAGAATTCTTAATCTGTAGGATTGGGAACAGGGAAGTGAACTGTTTCACTTTGAATCCCCTGAAACCCTGGGTTTAGGAGACTCTAAACAAGAGGAGGGCTTTTGTGAGGCTTCATGCAACTCTGGAGTCCTCACTGGCCCAGGGACACAAAGTGCACAACCTAGGTCCAGGACAGGAGCCAATGGCCCCAACTGGTGCTGTGCAGGAGTGCGGTGTGTGCCACAGCAGCCTGAAGCTTCTCAAGGGCTCAGAGCACCTGTCAGAGACACCTGGGCAGGCTGGGCTGCTGGGAAGGACCTGACCTCAGCTACAGAGGCAAGCGTCAGCCAGCTTGACTGCACTGGACCTCAACCACTAGTGTTTAGGGAGGAAGAGCCCAAGCCACACTGAGCTTGGATGCAATGAGGCATGTTTATTACTGGTCTTTTCAGTTGTGCTGAAAATGAAGTCATAGCTCTATTTTGCCAAAAAAAAAAAATACTTAAAATTTATGTTCCATTACATGATGGAAAGCAGCTTTAAAAAAATGTATACAAACTTCCTACATTTATTTGTGGTAGAAGCCATAAGAACAATAAAACAAATTCACAGCTACAAAGTTGTTAAAAGATCAACCCCTGGTTTGCAGAGAAAGAAAAGAATATCTCCCTCAGCGTTATTTTTGTTGTTGTTGTGGGTTTTTCTGTTTTGTTTTGGTACTGGGGACTAACTCAAGACCTCAGGATTACTAGGTAGGCGCTTATGCTGCTGAGCTCAATCCCTGGCCCCCTTCAGTGTTCTGTTCCCAGTGCATACAATGTTTTACAGAGCTCAGGAGGCTCCCTTAAAACAACACTACTCAAAGCACCTTTCTTCCTGAAGGCTGTAGCCAGAGTTTTAAATGGTAAACCCTTAGTCAATAAAAGGAGAGCAAAACAATACCCGATGGTGTTCTCTCTTGACAGTACAGACTTGGACTACATGACATCATATTCCAAGAAATGTCATGGTAACCTTTAAAGCATAAAAAAAGGCATGTGGAAGGGTTATGGTTTTGCACATAAGGATAAAGAGGAATTTCACTTCATCTATTTACTCAGCAAGGATTTACTGAGAACTACTTGCAAGGTGCTGCAACTAGCTTTTCTGATATAGTGCTAAGGGGCTGTGGATTTAGCTCAGCGGCACAAGTGTCTGCCTTGCAAGCACGCAGCCGTGAGTTCAATCCCCAGTACTGATTAAAAAATACAGTGATAAGCAAAACAGAGCAGGTCCTGACTGTAAGAAGCCACAGTGTACACAGAAGATGACGCCAACAACTGAAGAAGAGCTGGCTTATTCCTGCCAGCGAGGCATGGGGAGACCTCCCCAAGAGGCCCTGACTGCCAGTGGGGGCCACCACGGGGCACTCTTGGCCTTTCTCACCACCTTCTTCCTCCACGGCCATTAATGGCCACTCTTGACCACGTGGCTGTGTGAACAAGTAAAAAATACACTACCCTGGCATTTAAGTTTAAGTCACTTAAAAACAGCAGACCCAAAAGGATCACTTAGGGTCTTCATGCTGTTTCTTGAGAACAGATGACGAAATTTCTAGGAGAAAGGTGCCCTGTCCATATTAGTGATACACTATACTTTTCTATTCAAGGATAAGAGGTCAGACCAAGAATTCTGTGCAGACCTTTCCAAGACAGTGCTGTCTTCTAGGGTTCCTTATGCAATGTGCTGCTGCACACCCTCTACTCTTGCTGTAATGCAGCCTGCAGCAACGGACTCCACTACTTCAGTCCACTTTTGTCAATTTAATTCCCTCACCAAGATAGGCCTGAGAAGATGGGAGTGGAGTTTTCCTACCTCTTCAATATTTACCTCATTAGAAATCAAGACAGAAAAACATTAAGATACAAAAGTACATAAAATGCATTACACTAGTCAACAGTGACAAAAACATAATCATCTTATATGATCTTGTAGAAAACTCCACAGTACATTTGTGACAGAATCAAAGTACAAAGGCAAATAACATCTTAGTATTAGAAGAATACTTTTGACACTATGGCCTTAATTCTCAGGGGACCTTGGCCTCATTTTGAAAACTGCTGGGTTAAGTTATTTTGCTCTGACTATAAAAATTATTTGTTCCTAAGTATCTTGAATGATACAGTGGTGGTCACTAAGAAAGTATTATTTAATAGAAGGTTGTCAAGCGGCTGCGGTGTGGCAGACTGTGGCCCTTAGATCTGTGCCATGTTGGAACTTAGAACCCTGGGAAACCAAACAAGCAGCATCCCTCCCTGGTAAGCTGCTGTGGTGTGGCAGACTGTGGCCCTTCCAGGGGGAAAACCACTAGTGTATCCTGAGATCCGCGCCATGTTGGAACTTAGGACCCTGGGAAATCAAGCAACCTGCCTGCCTCCCTGCTAAGCAATAGTGAACCTACTGGTGCATGGCCTAGAGTCAAACATCTCAGGTCCCCTACCCTTCTTCCTCTGTCCCCCCATAGCAAATGGGAACCAGAAATCAGAGCATCTCTTGGGATGTTGATCATAGCAAATAAGGGGGATTTCCTTCTACCATCTCTTTGAAGGCAAACATTTTTATTACTGTTTTGCTTTATTCTGATTAATGGTACGGCTCTATTCAATATTCTGTTTTGCTAAGTTCTATAATGTTCTGTATTTCATTTGATTTTGCTATATCTGATTGAAAGAACAACTATTATAAGATAATGAAATATAATGTGATACCTATTACTGTTACCCCAGTAACCTGCTGTGAAGTTCTGTATCAGTTTTACTACATGGTCTCAGTTGGCTTTATTCTGTCTTGTTCTGTTGTATTTTACTATTTTCAATATAAAAAAATAAACAAATAGGCATTAATCAAGCAAGAAAAAAAAAAAAAAGGTTGTCATTACATCCAGTTTTGTCAAATCCAAGGCCCCTCACCCCCCAACAATGCTACTCTCCAGAACCAAATGACAATTCTCTGAGAGAAGCGGGAGAAAACATGATGTGACGATAAAAACAGGAAGATTAAAGGGTCACTAAAATGGAGCCAAGAAAACAATTTCTGTGGCACTTAGGCACAGCGCCCTCTGATGGTTCTCATTAGCATATACAGGAAAATAAGCAACATATTCAATGTGTTCCACATTCATCCCTGATCTATGTTTTCCTACAATAAGCTGACTACTAAATACAAATCTCAAATATATAATCAAATACTGTACATACGATGGCTCAAAGTATATAATCAGCGTCCACTTTTTATCTGCATGATTCTAAGGCTAACTGGCAAAAGGTCAGCAGTGGCATAGGACATGGTTTTTCCTTCATTTTAAAGATCTTCTTTTATTTTTATTCTTTGGTTGTGCTGGGTTTCTAACCCCATAACTTATATATGCTAGGCAGATGCTATAGAACTGAGTTACACCTCCAGCTCTATCATTCTTTTTTCAAGACATAGAAAATAGCAAAAATAGTACACTTGCTGGAGATCCAAACTATTGCAAATGCCCAATAACCTATGTCTAACATCAGTTAAAACTTTCAAAAAAAGAGGTAAGTGATTACCTTTAGCACCAGACAATAGTCTGTAGGTGCTTTGTATTTGTTTCGATAGTCTTGGCCATAGTAAACATTGACATGATCCAGCTGGAGAAAGCACACCAGATCCCGAGAGACCTAACATAAAAACACCAAAAAGGTCAGGTTAACAATAGTGTACAAAGTAGCAAATATCACTGTTACAATTTTCAGTTGAAAATCTGAATTTTAGTGAACAGAAATTATTGCTATTTTGAAGACAATGAGGTTGTTTACAAATACTTCTTTAATCCATAATATAACCTTCTCCCAAACCAGTTCATTTTGTTACTGTTACGGTTTGTGTCCAGGTATCCCCTCAAAGCCTCCTTTCATCATAGGTGGGGATTTTTCAGAGATGGATTAAGGGTGCTGGGATGAAGGGTGTATGATTACTACTCAGTCCATTGATTGGTTTGGCATTTGCTCTAAGACTATAAAAGGGGCAGAAGGAAGATGCTAAGGTGCTTTGGTTGCTTGCTCTGCTACCTTCTGCCCACCATGAACTGTTTCACCTCAATGATGTCCTTCTGCCATGTCTTGAAGCCAGCCAATTATGGTCTGAAATCTTTACAAACTGTGAGCCAAATAAACCCTTCCTCCTCTAACTTTGGGCATTGGGTATTTTATCTCAGTAATGAGAAAAACAACTAAAACACTTACTGTCTTGCTATTCATAACAAACCTTTAGAAATGCCAACATTTAATCATAGTACTTTAAGTACAGCAGGACATGTATTAAATACATATGTGTAAAGAAAGCTCTCTGGAATGAACCAGAAATTATCAAGTAGTTCAGTGCCAGGAAACATATCTCAAATACTATGATCCTTCACTGGAGGTTTCCTCACTAGTTAAAGAGGAACAAAACTTTGCTTATAGGATTATTATAATACTAGATGATACTATAAAATCTTTAAAATAGTTTTGCCCTCAAATTAGTACACAGCTATAGTTAAACCAAACAAAAGCCTATCACTCAAAATTAAAATGGCTGTAAACCCAGAAAACTAGTCTTCCCCAAACAAAAACTACTATGGCAAGAATCCCAAGAGTAAATAAGTAAATAAAATAAATAATAATCATAATAAATAAAATTATGATTTCAAATGTAGCAAAAGAAATGAGATGGGCCCAACTAATAATCAGAAATGTGAAAATTTTTTGAGTTGCCTTGTCTTTAGATAAGACTATAAACAAAGTAATCTTTCTATACTAGATAAAGTAATGACACAATCACTACAAATTAAAAGCAATTATTATAAGAGAAGCCCAAAACCTTACCAAAGGGGGACCCACCTTTGCTTTCCCTTTAGGGACATAGTAGATACCAGATGCTCGTAAGAGAAAGTACCGCTTCTTCCAGGACTTCTTGCCGTCATCTTTCAACCAAAGGACTCCTTCAATTTCTGGTACAGTTACAGAGCTTCCACAAAAGCATTCCTACAATAACACAATGAGTTGCAAAAACTTTTGCTCCTTGGATCCTTCGAAAAAAGTTGTGCCTACCTATGTGAGATACATTACATTAAAGCATGGTAGTTTTCTTGGAAAACCATGCTATTCATTTTCATCTAAATCTGAACTTTCTAAACACAATATGAATTTATTTTGGAACTACTGTAGCAATCCCTTTAATAAGCAAAAATTCTAGACCATAATGTAACACTAACTCCTGCATATGATCTTTTATCTAATGTTGAAGAAAAAGTAACTTGAATTAACTGTATATAACAGTACTTAAATGCATTTCTAAACAACACAGTTTAAATAAAATACTAAGTATAATTAAAAATGTCAGGGTTAACATAAGCATTCAATTTTATTTTTCTCCAAATTTATGATGAATTAATTAGCTGCCAAACTAAAAAGGAATAGTTAAAAAGTATTAAGTGATTGTTCATTAACAATTGGATTGATATGGTCTAAGAGCAACAGAGTATTTGTTTTCAAAACACTGAATAGTATGTTGAAAGGAATTTAAGCAACTTCAAAATTACGAATTTAAGCAACTTTAAAATACAAATATAATGTTAAAAATAATGTATTTATAAAAGTAAGTCCCAAATATTACTGTAGGGTATTTTCAACCTAACTTAATTTCTTTGCCTCAAAGTGTTCAAACGTTAGGAAGTATAAAGATATTTTTTCTTAATGGTAACTAGTCTCACTACAAAAAGTTAAATACCTAACTTTATATTCTAATTGCCTTGTTGGTAAGAGTTTATTCCAGTTTTCAATGTACCAACATCTTTTAATTTGTTAAAGCTAAGCAAAAGATGAAGATTAGGTTGTATTACAAAACTTTTTTGAGTTATTTATGGCTAAGGCCTGAGCTATTTTGTAAACATGAGCTATTTTGTAAAAATTATATTTAGAGAAGCTGGTGAAAACAAGAAACATTTTTCATCAACCAGCCCTTCTTCCTACATGGCAACTCCTAAAAAATTACTATTTCTTTTAGTCCACTGGTTGGCAAAAGAAGTTTTTCAAACGTTCTTCATTGGCCTAACCTGTTCACACAGTTGTACTCTCTCTCCCTCATGGCATCAGAGAATATAGGCTTCTTGAGTTACAATTGTCACTGTAAATATGGAGCACACCATACGGCATTTTAAAAGGTACTTAATGCTTCACTTATAAAATGTGCATAAAAAGGAGTGGGGGAGGCATACCTCTAGCAGTACTTCTTTGTTTCTATCTGCCATTTCAGCTGTTTCTTTTTTCCCCAGAAGGTAATTCTGGAAAAACAATGAAAGGAAAGTTAAAGGAACAATCTATCCTATCATTCCCTTGGCATAAGTACACACATGATTTCTTCTATAGAAATAACAACTCTAGGGGGCTGGGGATTTAGCTCAGCAGCATAAATGCCTGCTTTGCAAGTGTGTGGTCGTGAGTTCGATCCGGCACCAAAAAAAAGAAAAAGACAAAAAAAAAAAAAAAAAAAGAAAAGAAATAACAACTCTAGGTCCATTTTTGCCAGTGTAGAGAGAGGAAAGCAATTCTCCCAGCACTCAGGCTTCATCATTAAATTACTTAACACTTGTCTCTTCCTTGCCTACACATTTGTCATGAATTAGTCCATAAACTGCCTTTTCTTGAATCCTGAGGTGACCTCACATACAACAGCTGACAGTATGCAGAAAACTTAACATTCTGGCTTTAAGAAGAAATCCCTGGTTCTGTAAAACTGTAACAACTTCATTTTATTAGTTTAATTAAAATGAATTATAATTATTAGTATAATTATTCTTCACAGCTGCCTACTAAAAGATCTATTGATATCCCCACATATGAATTCTTCACTAAAATATCTAAACAAGGTGAGTTGTGATTAAGCCTGCAGAAAAGCTATTCAATACCTTGCTGTTATTTTTCTCATTACTACTTTTTATCATGGAGTTGTTTTTCCCTACCACACTGATTTCTATAAAATATCTAGGTATTAGGAAGTAGTAACTCAAACATGATTTTGGAAGAAAAGTAACATATTAGAATGTGGAGCCATTTCTAATCAAGATAATTGTGATTTGTAAAAAAAAAATCCAAATGAAATAGATTAATAGTGGAGATAAGATCTTCTTTTCTTTTATGAGGTGAGAAACTCACCAAATCAATTACTGGATTCAACACAGTTCTGGGTTACAGAACAGGGAAATCTGGTAATTCCCTGGGGCTACTTCTGCTTCCACACTGGTTTATCTCCTGAGAGATCTGACACCAGGGTCCTGCAGCCTCACTACCTCGGTAGCAGTAATGAATGCTCCTGTGGGGTCTGTACCTGCAATGCCCCAATCAAGTGGATGCCAGACTCCTAACCCTACTAATTTAGCAACAAGAGAATAAAATGAGTTTCATATCTAAAAACTCTGACCTGAGATACATATCTAAAAATCCTGAATAATCTACTCAGTCTTACCTGTGGGTTTTTGAATAGTGCGTATTTTTCTATGCGTTCCATAAATATAAGCTTGTTTTGGCTATCTCTTGTCCAATTGAGAAGATTTTCAACCAAGTTTTCATGATCTTCAAAGATTCTCTCTATTAAAAAAAAAGAAAGAAAAGAAAAAAATCAGTATGTTTGTTAGTATTTATCAAAATTACATTAAAGACATGAAACCTTGCAAAGTGATTCAAATCAGAATTATATTCACTTTTTTTAAAATTGAGGCTGAGTCTCACTATATAGTTTAGGCTAGCCTTGAACTCACAGAATACACTTTTTTTTTTTTTTTTTCAGAATACACTCTTGCCTGTCTCTCAAATGCTGGAATTACAGGCAGACACCACCACACCTGGCCTAGAATCATAGCCTGTTAATCAACTCTAACATCCTGGGCCCTCACATGTTCATTTTACAAACAAGGAGACAAGCCCTAGTGATGTGAAGTGAGTTAAAGGAGGTCACATCAATGACAGAGAGTTAGGACTAGAATCTAAGTCTTCTGATCTCCAGCACATCATTCTTTAGCCTCTAGCTCTTTTCTATCCACTCTTAAGTTGAACTTTTTTGTTTTTGTCTTTTTGAGACAGGGTCTTGCTATGCAGTTCAGGCTGGCCTTGAGCTCACCCTGTAGCCCAGGCTGGTCTCGAACTCACAATGATCCTCCTGCCCCAGCCTCCTGTGTGCTGGGATTACAGGCATGAGCCACCACGCCTAGCTCTTACATTGAACTTATGTTAAACAACATATTTTATATACTGATTTTTTGAAATCTGTTGCTGTTGTTTCTCTTAAAGTTAAAAACTAGTACAGAGATACTGATACCACATCGCCATTTTAAACTGGAAATAATATTGTATATCAAAGAATTCTCAAAATATTTGAGGTAAACTGCTTAGAAATTTTGCAAGAAAAGATTAAAAAAAATGCTTCAAAATGCTTCTGTAACATGAAAGCTATAGAGATCACATAAAAGTTTAAAAGCAATGATGTTACTAACCCATTTGTAACTCAGAAATGGTTTCCACCAGCGACCAGTCTAAACCATAGCCACAGTGGGACTTGTCCATCAGGTTAGCCAGCACTTGTCTCACTGTCTGCCTCTCGTCCACCATCATTGTTTTAGAACTGTCGTCAGACATGTGGACTCTAATCACCAGCTATAACAGGTAAAAATGACATTCAATGAAAACCAAAATAAGCATCCTGGAAAGGATTTGAATATTCTTAAGTGTCCAAGTGTAAATTGAAATACAAATAATGATCTTACTATGTGAAATGGTACACTGAGTAACCTACCTAAATGAATTTAAAGCCTTTAAAAAAATATAACAGGTTAAGAGTGTTATGTAAAGATTATTCTGTTTTATTGTTTTAGGAGAGTTTAGAAAAAGTTCATTCTTTTTATAATGTATCTCACACACAAAAAATATAAGTGTGAAAAATACATTAGAGGAACGAAGTCCTCATCCACCATTTCATAAATGGAAGGAATTTATTAAATAAACAAGGCAAGTCTTTGTAAGTCCAGAAAACTGAAAACCCCACCAAGCAAACGCCCATGCGTCACCTTTTTCACTTGTGCCTCTTTAATTTTCTCCAGGGCAACTCTGATCTTCTCAGCTTTCAATTTTGCTGCCTGTTCTTCCTGTGGACACAAAGCATTTCAGATAAACTATCCCTAAAGTAAGAATATGTGAGATGTCTTTTCTACTTTTTAAGTATGTTTCCAACACTGAATTTCATTACAAATATACTGATCATACAAAGTATGTTTTAAAAATAGTCTTGTTTACAAAATGAATGCAGACATAGTGTTTAGAAAATAGTTGTTTTCTTTAAAATGTCTTACAGTACGATGAAATTCCATATTCGGGGGGGGGGGAATCTGGTGTAGCAAATTAGTAAATCTGATTTTGTCAATACAAAACCGACATCTACACAGCCCTCCCTGCCAACTTAGTTTTACAAAGCCAATTCTGCACTTATACTTCCTCCAAAGTACATAGTTAAGTTTGTGTATTCATGTTTTGATTTGTTACACAGAAAATGTATAAAAAGATCTATAGCAAAAAATGATTGTTTACTTATCTCTTTATTCACACCTTTATTAAAAACTTGAGAAAATATAGGTACAGTTTCATTAATATACTAATATAAAGGCGGCTGCCATATAGTCAAAGTTTTACTTTGCTTTGGGAATTTATAAATATAGTCATATCAGTAAATTCAAATTTATTTCCATGGCTTCATTAATAAGATTTTTTAAAATGCTAAATATAACTTTCCAAGTAACTTAAATTTTAGTAACTGCTATTGCAAAAAAGCTAGTTTACACACAGTAATAAAACTTAGAAAGAACTAAAATCATGTGATATGTACTAGTCTAACACTAGTATACTACTTACTTGTAATTTCCAGCAATAGGCCATAATACACTGTAGCATTACTCTTTAATTGAAGAAAAAACAAAAGCTTATATAAATAGACTTCTGTTAATAAAAGATTATTTTCTATTCCCAAACTCTTGATTGCTCTGGAAAACAGCTAAGAAAACTACAAATTCTCATCTTATATATTTCCTTAAGCATGTATTTTTTAAAAGAAAAGAACCTAATTATATCAATCAAACTTTATCTTCTCTGAATTGTAATTAAAAAACCACAATCCTGGCGTTATTCATCATCAAAAAACTAAAGCTTCCAGGGCAAAAAAATTAACAGGTTTACCTCCTGTTCACTTAACTTTATCAGTTCTTACATATGAATCCCTTTTCTCTCCATTTCATATTTTCAGTTGTCTCCCCTCATTTCAAGCTTAGTATTTACTGCTCCGTGGAACACGGAGACAGTGCTAAAGAAAGCAGAAAGTCTGCTTGCCAGAAATCTGATCTCTTTCAATGAAAGGAACCAGTGAATTAACATAATAACTAAGGTCTGGAAATTCTATCTGTAAACTGCATTAGGCAGACAACAAAGAAATTTATTTTAACAATGGCCAGGGTGAGGTAAAACTTGGTTTTCTACTATAACCTATATTTTCTATATTACTATATTTTCCTGACCTGAAGATCAAATTATATTATTCCCTACCCTTTACATGAATAAACAAATAGACTTATAAAATAACTGACTGCATTTTAACAATTTTTTTCTTATAAAAGCAAGCTATTAAAGAAAAACTACTACTATTAAAACTCATTCTCTTGAATTGAGTCTGACAGAAATATCACTGTTAGGTAAATTACCAAACCCTGCATGTGTTTTGAAGATATACAGTATAGGTTTGAAACACTTAAAAACTTCCAAGTAACTGATTGTATAAACACTCCTGGAAAGCATTTTCCAAGGTCTCATCATTATATTCGTATAAACGGCTACTGCAGCAAAAGAAAATTTATCCAGATATACTTGCAAAATTCATTTCATTTTGATGAGGGAAAGCCAACATGGAATTAATGCTTTGTGTTTTTGGAATACAAATATGAACTTCTAAAAAATTGAAATTCTTTACAATATAATTAATCTTCAGATATCAAAATAAAGTTTAGGATATGTTCTCAAACCTGAAAATATTTAACAAAAAATAAGGAATATTCAAGAAAGTAAGGCAAGTCAAAAACTGAAAATGAAAAATGGTACTGCTACTTTGGAAAACACAAATCTAAACACACTCTTATCATATGACCCAGTAATCACATTTCATTTATGTCTAGAAAAAAACCTACATGGGTGTTTATAGAAGCTTTATCTTAAGTGCCAAATCTTGGAATCAACAAAGATGTCTTCCAGTAACTGAACAGGTAAACTACATGCATCTTGACAACAGAATCTAGTGCTAAAAAGAAATGAGCTATCAAGCCAGCAAAGGCACAAAGGAATCTTAAACAGTAACTTTTACCAAGTGAAAGAAGTCAATCTGGAAAAGCTACAAATCATATAATTCTAACTATACTATACTCTGGAAAAGTCAAAATTATGGAGACAGTGAAAAGATCAGCGTTTGCTAGGATGTTAAAGAGGCAGAGTACAGAGGATTTTCAGGGCACTCAAACAACTGTGTCTGACATTCACTGTGGAGACACATGTCAGAATCTGAAACTGCCCTAAAAATAAAGTCTATTTAAATATGGGTATGTGCTTAAATATTACATTCTGATATTAGTTACAAATATTAAAATATTTGCATGCTATATTTGAAGCAAAGTTTTCAATGACTGGACTAGCTTACACTCATTGATCAGTTTCTGCTCCACACTGAATACGATTAAACAAGAGATTGTGTACAGTTAACAAGTCAGTTAGGTTTCCTAGCCATCCATATGAAATCATTTTTATGTAAAGTACGTGAGATGGGGCTATTTTAACAAATCCAAATGTAGCGATTCCTCCATTTGTTCAAAATACTCTTCAATAGCTACATAAACTGGTCAGTGTAAAGACCTGCAAATTCAAATTTTAAAGCTAGTTGTTTTATCTGAATATCATTACTGGAGTAAAACTGAAAATGAAATACCTCAAACTGCAAATTGCATAATATTTAATGCTTCCTATGGGTGATAAGCTCTTTCTCTGTGAGTTCTATTTGTTATGTACTATAATTAGGCCCAAGCCATTATTTTAATTGTAACTTATGAGGAAAGAAATTGCCTTAAGGGCCAGGGATTTAGTTCAGTGGTATAAGCCCTTGCTTGCAAGCACAAGATCTCAATGTTATACAATATAGGAAAGAGCAATAAATCTTTGCTAATTTGTTTAGATGGCATATTTAGAAGATCTCCGAGTTTATAAGGAAATGCAAAATCTATGTTCAATATCAAAAGGAAAAAGTTTTCATTTTACGTTCTCCCAACAAACTGACCTTAAGTATTAGTACCTGCTTGTAATACATTTAATGAGCAAGTTCTTTGTATGGCCCTCACTTTTTGACTACTCTTTTCTTTATACTGTCTCACAAGTATCTTAAATATGTGAAAGACACTTCAAACATATAAAAACAATTTTCTTTTCTATCCTTCTGTTTAAAGAGCCAGAGACAACCCATTTTCTACTGCTGAGTGGCTATCAGTAACCATCAAATACCAAGCCTCCTCAAATTTACATAGAAGACAAACACTTGGTGAAGATCATATGATTAAATGAAAACCAATGCTGTGGTCAAAAGTGTTAGAGAGTTCTCTGTGTGGTAAGAATTAGAATACTCATACTCAAAACAGAGTCACGGCTGCACAGAGTTAGTGAATTCCTTCAACTGAGAAATTAAAGGCATTCTAGGTTAAAACCAAACCCAGATGAAATTAAGACAGAGTATTCGGAATCTAGTTTATTTGAAAGATTATAACAATTAAAAAGTTATGAAAATTAATGATTTAAAGAGAACTTGGGGTGATACGATTTAATGCCCATCAAATATTCTATTCTATAAGGCTGCTCAGAACCAATATAACAATAGTAACAGTTTATTTCCTCTCAAGAAATGATGAAATCAACAGTTTCTGAGACGAAAACTAACATTAGCTGAACACCTGTAACTTGCCATACTATGAGGCCTGTTACAGGTGCAATCTCATTTAAATCTCAAAAAACACAAGGCCAATATTATTAGTACACTTATTCATTGTACAAATTACCAATGAAAGGTTCAGGAAGACTCTCATCTTTCCAAGATCATATAGGTAATATAGTTACCAACTGACTAATTACTTCCACCATAATGGTAGAGTTCTTAGTGTCCTTTAAGGGTTATAGCTTAAACTTTTCCGATATAAGTAAATAAAAAATTGCTTGTCAAAAAGACATTCAGTAATACTAATAAAGAAGAGAGAAAATGGTGGTTAACATTTAAGCATTCTTGAACTTAGACAACTCAGAAGAGTGGTCAGAAACTGGTGTACCAGGCTATTTGGTAGGAGGAGCCAGACTGGCTGAGGTGTAACACAATGCGAGAGCACATACTGAACATATGCAAGCACCTGGTTTGGTATGTTGCACACGTGTGCGTACACACACACACACACGCCTTAATTCAGCTTGAAAATAGCCAGGGAATCTGGTGGAGAGGGCAGTACATTAGTACCAAGAGTAAGGCTCATCTGAGAGGCCAGTGGGTTGGCTTGCCTAGGAATTTCTGCTGCCTCTTACAGGTCTCCCATCTCAAGACCACCCTAAATGCTCATGTTCTACGTGACTGAGTGACATTTCTGCTAAAATCTCTTGCTGCACATAAGCAAGGTGGCCTACAGAAGGGGGCTAGAGCCAGAAGTTGGCCAAATATACTGGTGCTGCTGGTTTGGTAGTAGGTGAAGATAAGATGTGGGCAGGAATGGCTCCAATACTGCAGTCAGTATCACTGTCTTTGGGAGAGGGAGATGAGAACTCACCCAGCCCATTTATCCAAAATTTGCTAAAAACAACTCTCCCTATGGGAGGAAATGTTTTGTTCATCACTGCCATGTCAAATAGTTGTAAATGCTGGCACAAAGAGAATATTAAGTATCAGTTGGGTGAATCAAGTAATTCTTTCCAACAGTTTCCCAGTGGAAAATGTGAACCTTCGTATGACTTGAATGATCTGGCTCCTGCCTGCCTCCCTAAACCCAAGGCACTTGTACCGTCACTTAACCAAGGTAGCTCTAGCAACATGGTCCTTCTTCAGCTTCTCACTCACACCAAGCTCTTTTTCCTTGGCCTAACTATATGGAACAACCTCTTCTCCCAGCTAGCTTCTTTTCATTCTTCAGGTTATAGTATAAATGTCACCCACTTAGATCTCATCATCTAACTGAAATACAGCCCTCATCCTTTTCTCAGTTTCTACTTCTTTACGTTTTCTTCATAGCATTCAATAGCTTAGATATTTTTTTTACATGCTTGTTCATTATTAAATCCATAGGTTGTGAGCTCCTAAGGGTAGGGGAACATGTTTATTTTATACAATGCTGAATACCAGCACCCAGCATACAGTAAATATTAAATAAGTAACAAAATGATAAAACATTTTAGAACAGTGTACAAAAACAGACTACAGGAGGGACAGGTAAAGATAAAGACCCAGCTGTCACAGTTTTGATAAGATGTAAGAACCTATTTTACAAGAATAGGAACAATAGACCCCCTAGAGGTCAGGCTACACTTCATTCCATTTTGAGAGTCAGAAGAGAGATGCCAAGGATGATCAGCCAGCTTACCCTGGATCTCTGGGACAGTGGCAGTATTCTAAGCAAAGGAAGTTGGGTATGAATGTGGGGCCTTTGGGAGAAGATGGGCAAGGCGCCTAAAGCCCTGTGGATGTAGGTGGTAGTAAGATGCTGGTGCTCTCCCAGCAACCCTCATAGAGCTCTGCAAGTGTGGTGCTCTCAAGAGAAACAGCTGACCCACAACAGAGACCTACCTGAAACTGTGAGTGTAGATTCCAAGATTAGACAGCAAACAGGAAAAAGCGCCGAGGAAGAAAAACTGCTCTGGTGGTAAGGTGCAGCCACAATCTACTTCAGTGTCTGCCCTAGCCTAGTCTTTATGCTTCCACCTCCGCTCACTGACCTACAAAGAGAAACCTGGGCAAGCGAAGGTGCCCCTCGCTCACCCTGTCAAAAGATTTTCTCTTTGAGCTACTGGGCAGGTTTTTATGTTAGCCTATTGTCTTTCATAAGTTTAAAAGGTTAGCAAGAAATGAACAAAAAAACCCCCAGATACAACTTAAGAGACATTATTCAAAATTACTATGGACATTCGTTAAAAACTATAATCAAATCTGATATTCTTGAATTATAATATTTAAGTAAGATAATGAAATAAGGCCATGATTTGAAAATAGACAGAAAGCTATTCAGCTTCTAATTTTTTTCCTGGATAGTGATGATAACTGCTAAGGGATTTTAAGTTGTTATAAACACTAGCACAATGAAAATCTAGCTGGACTGATTCAAATCATTCTGAGGATAGAGAACTGGGAACTGCAGCTTTCTTTTCCAATCTAAGTCCTTATAAACCAAGATAAAAGTAAATGTTTTGATAACACAAACACAAATTATAAAACTTGCTACAGAAACTCAACAGTTTGGATAACCATTAGAGTAAAAGTTTATTTTGGCAATATTTTTTACATTTTAAAATATGAAATTAAACTTGAAAAAATTCAACATACTTTTAGGCATTTACAGAAGTTTAAAAAGTGGTGAAAATTCCTGAAAATATTTGCTACTCTTCAGTATTATTTCATAGTTATTAAGATCAGGTATGCTATTACCTTCGGTAAGATAAAAGATAACTTTTATTAAGGACAAAGGTGCTAAAATGACAAGCAATAACATGAAAGCACAATCAAAACCAGAAATTATATTCTACCTACAAGGCAGTAAACAGTTACATGCATGAAGAAAGCAGTAGTGTCACCTTGGTCAGCAAATGAGAAGGTTTTCCTGCAATGTTTCTCAGAAGAAGGGATGTTTCCCTGTCCAAATAGGAGTGCTTGTGCAGAAAAGAAAGAGAAAACAAAAAAAGGAAATAACAGAAGTCAGTGGAGGCTTTATATGTTTACAATATAAAGAGTCAAAGCAAGAATGATTCTCTGTAATTAATCTCTTATCTTTTTAATAAACTGAGTAAAGTATGTCCATAAAGAAAACTTTCAAAAAAGAGAGAGAGAGAAAAAAAAGAGAAAGTAAAGAAAGGGGAGATAAAGACCTCATCTGTCATGTATGCCTGCAGATATTCCCAAGTGAATCTTCCCAATTTGTGGCTCTTTGGGAAAATGGTAACACATACACAAGGATCACAGAGCCAGTTTGGCTTCTAGGCCAGTACTCATGAGTCCTGTGCAAAGAGTGCAATTAAATACACATTTGAGATCAGTGACCACCATATTCCTTCCTGTTGTGCAAGTCTATTAAGGCTCACATTGCTTTAAATAGTTAAAACTGATAGGAACACGATGTGATCATATCATTTGAAAAATTTCTGCAACTGTTTCTGATCAATTCAATGATAGTCATCCCAAGAGGAAAAATACCTATAAATGTTTTGGCTAACAGAGACACTAGCTTTCAGTAAAATTTTATGGTCCTCATTATAGAACCATGTTGCATAGTAAAGAACCTGAACAAAATATGAGAGATATGAACAAAATATTAAGAAGTTTCCCTCCTGTTTTAAATTAATTGAAATATATTTCCATAAAATGATCTGAACATTGTTTCTATCATTCCCTGGCTTAATAACCTTTTAATACCATGCTCTAAATTTACACAATTATATTTATCCTTCTTGCTTATTCCAAAATAATTCTGAATTAGTATTCATTTTTTAATGCTATGCATTTACTAGTCACCATTGGCATTAACACAGCACAGTGGAGTTACACAAACAAGTTCTATAATAGTACAGGATGCAATAAATTTAAGTTGTTCTGACAAACATTATTTGGAAAGAAACTTATGCAAACAAATACAGTACTACAGCTGCACCCATTCAAGAAGAAAATGATCCTAGGTGATAAACATGGTATTTTAGGATAGAAATTTACACTACTTTAAGATTTATACTATGTTGAGTTTGCTGTGTGTGTGTCTGTGTTTTTTTTTTTTTTTTTTTTTTTTTTTTTTTTTTGTCTGTTTGAGACAAGAGTCTCACTATGCAGTTCAGCCTGGCCTTGAGCTCACTTTGTAGCTCAGTCTGTTCTTGAACTTGCAACAATCCCCTTACCTCAGCTTCCTGAGTGCTGGGATTACAGGCATGTGCCATCACACCTGGCTCTATGTGTATTTTATTGCCTGTAATATTAAAGCTGTGTTTGAAGTTGAGATGAACCTATTCTCATTCCTCACTCATTTCTTAAAAACAAACAAGAACCCTGAGGTTAAAGAAAAACTGAAAATATTCACTAAGATTCACCACTAACATGGTCAAACAGTACTCAGAAGAGAGAAGAAAATTACCCCTATGTTCTTGTTTACCTAGATAGTATAGTCTACCTAAACATAAACATTGGTTGGTTCATCCATCAAGATAGTAGGCAGGCAGAAATTTCTGAAAATTCAACTTAGTTTAAGGTTAGTGATCTGCCAAGACCAAGGAAAAAGTTGAGAAGGATAAAGAACAAAAGCACAATTAAAAAGAGCAACTATAACTTTCACTGCTCTTATTCCCAAACACCTTTGTTATTCACACAAAATTTAATTTCAACATCAAATTCAAAATTTAAGCTTTAAAAACAAGAGGTACTCAAATTCTCTGAATCCAAGACTTCAAGTCCCTCAAAATTTATACTATGAGCAGTAAGAGGCAGTTGTTAATTTGTTTCAAGACTCATTAAGTTAATCTATTTTAAATATGATACAACTTAAACATGAAACTATGAATGATAAACATGAGCATAAATCATGTGATCATTATGTATATCTAAAATATATCAATAAACAATAAATTATGCTGTACTTGGATGTACGGTAGCAGGTAGAGGTCAGGTCCATGTTCTTTCCATCTATGCTACAAGTATCTGTAGCAGAAAGAACAGACATAGAAACCAAAGGCAGCAAACTCCTCTCAGTAAATTGCTTTCTTTACTTACTCTTCCCTATGATATTAGTCAGGGTCAACTACATACAGCCACACATAGCTCCCAGAACTCCTTGCTTGTCAGAAAGCAGGGGCAGGGTGTGTGTGCGCGTGCACACATGCCTGGCTTGGAGTGGAGAGGAGTGCTGGCTACTGGAGAGGTTTGCAACAGGCATAAGAAGAGTGGTATAGTTGAAGGTTTGAGAACAGGAAGAGACTAGTTTTGGTACTTCAGCCCCAGCTTTGCGATGAAGACATGTTGTTAACCAAAAATGTACATAGTATCATATAAGTAGAGCCTTCTTTTATTTTGTTCTGTACACCACTATAAGTACAAAGTCAGAGGTTTCTCTGTAATTCATTTTATGGGCTTGTTTTGTCTGTTCCATTTTTTTCCCCTCTCCACTTATTTAACTATTTTTCAGGTTCTAGCTTGGAGACTGGAAATTGTAGGCACTGCAGATGAAAACAAAGATAGGCAGGCATTTCTTGCCTTAGATAATTTAGAATCTAATAGGTAGATACAGACTCACTGGCAACTATAGGGCCATGTGTTCGGTGGAAGGGGCCATGCAGGAGATGAGTACCTTTGACAAAACTGGGGGCTCATTAAAGTGTGTCTGAAGAAGCTTATAGTTCTAAAGAATGAGTAAGAGGTTCCAAAGATGCAGTTGGGCTTGCTAATGAGAACAGAATAAACAAGAGACTATCTGAGACCAGCAGTGCTACCACTGTCTTCAGGTAAGCACTTCATAAAATGGTGAGGACGTTCTGAGCTGTCACAATGAAGCACAGAGAATTACCAGTATTTGTTGAAAGGGAAACAGAAGTGCCAGATGCCTGTCAAGCATATAAGAATGCCACACAACAATTAAAAATCTCACAACCTGCCCACATCATTTTAAAAAATATGTTCTTATCTAGAATATCACAGAGAAGGGAAATCGTTTGTAATAATCCAAAAACTGTAACCTAACTTTATTTTATATGTAAATACAAAATAATTTTATAAAGTTTTAACTTTTAATGAGTTTTTAAGGAATGCACGTGCTCTGTGAAATAAATTGAGGGAATTCTGCTTTCCTTTGTTCAAATATATAAAGCTATTCACAATGCTGGAAAAATCATTTTACTGATGGAAACCTAGTTTGAAGTAAAAAAAAAAAATGACTTGCAAGAATTTTGTACTTCCCTACTTTTTTCCTTTGTCTATAAACTGTCTCAGCACATTATTTCTACTTCAGTTACTTCCTCTTTCCTCTTACAACATACAAGTGTGTCATGTTTGCTGTCAAAAGAGATTTTAATTCTGGGAGGCACTTACTGCCTTTCCTTTTTTTTTTCCAGTACTGAGGATGAAACCCAGAGCCTTTGCACTGAGCTACATCTCCAGTCCCTTTTCCCCTTTTTAATATTTTAAAAATTCTGACACAAGATCTCACTAAACTGTTAAACTGGTCAGGCTGGACTTGGAAATTGTGATCCTCTTGCCTCAATTTCCCAGAGTGCTGAGATTACAGGAATGTGCTATCCTGCCTGGCTTTCTTATTTGAAACAAGCAAACCAATACACCATTCTGATATTCTTACTTCATTTAAATGCAAAGTTCTTTTTTATTGTACTACTGGGGACTGAACGTAGGGTTTTTACACTCAGCTACATCCTAGGCCCTATTTATATCTAAGATAGGGTCTCATGAAGTGACCCAGGTAGGACTTGACTTTGTAATCCTCCTGCCTCACCCTCCCAAAAGTGCTGGGAATACAGGGTGTACCAGTGGGCTCAGACAAAGTTCTTGATTATAAAAAGTTCCTGAAAGGGGCTGGGGATTTAGCTCAGTGGTGTAAGCGCCTGCCTTATAAGTGCAAGGTCATGAGTTCAATCACCAGTACCAAAAACAAATAAACAAAAAAACCAAAGTAAATCTTCTTTAAGTGACGAAAATATTGTAGACTCAAACTTGTATTTCTACCATAAAATACTAAATTGCTGGGGATTTAGCTCAGCGGCATAAGCACTTGCCTGGTAAGCACGAGATAGTGAGTTTGGTCCCAGTACCAACCCCACCCCCCCAAGGTTCCTACTTTTTAAAAATGTTTTTTAAATAGTAGTGGCCAAGCATTAACATATTGAAAAGTATATTTTTATTATAAATTAAAAAATAATTTCTCCTTTATATTAGATATTAGAGCATTGCATTCACTAACAAAAACATTAAGTAGGCAGACTGTATTAACTGTGAATTTGGGATGGTAAAGATGGTATAAATTACATTACAGAAAGGGGCGTTGGCTCTGAAAGGATTAAGGACTACTGCATGGACACAAGCAATGAGAAGATACACACGTCTCACTGCAAGTGTGGTTGAAACTTAAAGGCGGTAGAGGAGCAGCTGCTTTCACTCAGCAGGATTGTTAGAGTCGGTCAAGGATGAACAGGAGATGGGGGGAGGTGGTTGTAGGGCTTTAGTGGCTTTTCCTTTACGCTTCACAGATGCCTGTCAGGCAGCACACCGTAACATAACGTAAGCAAGTCACAAATATAATTCAAAATTTAATTCTAAAAAGTGCAGAGAAAATATTGAAGTATTCATATCTTTTAGTAACCAAGAATATCTAAAACAATTCAATTGGTAAATACACAAATTAACAAAGTATTTTATATTCTTTTGGTCTTCAAAACTCAGCTTGTGCTCTGTGCAGTGCATCTCACTTTGGCTTACCCACATTTTAGTTATGTAATGGCCATGTGTGGCTATTGGTTGTTGTAAAATTTATTTTATTTTATTTTTTTGTCTTTTTTTTGAGACGGGGTCTGGCTATGCAGTTCAGGCTGGCCTTGAGCTCACTTTGTAGTCCAGGCTGGTCTCAAACTCACATCGATCCTCCCACCTCAGCCTCCTGAGTGCTGGGATTATAGGCATGAGCCACTACGCGTGGCTGTTGTAAGATTTATTAACCACTGACTTCAGAATACATTTTTGAAACAACTAGGTTTTCAGTTAAGCATTAGTGCTGAATCATTCCATTGGTGACCCCCACCTAAAGAGTAGCAAAATTTGTTACTACTTTAAGAAACTGATAGAAGCCTCTAACTTTAGGATAACAAAATACGATTTGTTTCAATACAAAATTCTCTATACCAGATACATTACTACCTATAATTTACCCTGAGATTTGGTACTCTATCATAAAAGTGCTTATTTGGCCTTTATTCTTAAGCTTGGTTTAATTTTTATTTGAAAAACAGAGGTTGGGAATTTAGCTTGGTGGCAAAGTGCTTGCCTGGCAAAAAACCCCCAAAAACCCAAAAAACCAAAAAAAGTTGTCATTCAGTGAAAAATAGATTGTATGACAAGAGTTCACCACTTGGCTTACTGAGTGCATTCTTCTTTGCTGATACTTAAGCAGTCCTATAACATGTTTACAGAACTTACAGGTGTCAGCTCAGCCTGTTCTTCTGTGAAGTCAGTAAGATGCTGGGCCTGCTTGCTGGGACATCTCTGAGAAATAGCATGCTGTGAAAATGGAGGAAGGGAGAAAATGACAGGTAAAGAAAGTGAAAAGGGCAGCTCTCCATAACATGCAGGAAGAGAAAAAGATCACGGAAATGAACAAAGCAGTAATGAAAAGTTGCATGCAATAACGTTTCATTCTTTTATGTAAAAATTAGGTACAAATCAGATGATCTCAATGCTTAACCTTTTAGTAACCTCATCCTACTTCTGGTCAGTACAGCCATATGGGAGAACTACACAGAATCATTGTGTCCAATGTAAACTCATCTTAGCCTTGATCACTAGTTGCCAATACTTGATCTTCTCCCCTCACTCAGCCAAATCAATGCCTGTTCTCAGTCTCCATGCTCTACAAGCTTCTATTTTTTCCTTTCTTCCTCTCACATATGACCATACTTTTTCCCTCAATTACTTAAAAAAATCACATCTATTATGAACATCTTCCTCACTAAAGTATATCTTATGACTAAATCCAGATTCTTGTTCACCTCTCCTTCTAGTGCTATGTGGATAAACAGCCCTTTTCCCTTTTCAGCAAATAACAGATCCTACTTATCCTTCCTCTAATATCTTCAGTCTCTGATACTCAACCAAACCAGCCGATTTCAAGTAGAAAAGAAAAAAGTTCTGAGTACCTTTCATTACACCATTATTTTCTCCTCAGTGCTACCAAACTTCCTTAATTCATGCTATATAGTAGCTTCATTTCTTAGCCACTCACTAATTCCTAAATTCTTCGTTTTTTTTTGTTTTTTGTGGGTTTTTTTTTTTTTTGTCTTTTTGAGATAGGGTTTCACTATTCGGTTCAGGCTGGACTTGGGCTCACTTTGTAGCCCAGGCTGGTCTTAAATCTGCAATGATTCACTTGCCTCAGCCCCCCAAGGGCTGGGATTAGAGGGGTGCACCACCACACCCAGCTTCTTTGTATTCTTTATCTTTCAACATCATTTGTGTTGTAATGCATTCTGCAATTGTTTTGTCTTTCCAGTCATGGTGTTTGTACACCATACTGCCATTACTTGTTGGTTTACTTATACTTGCATGTCATACCCCTAGAGCTAACTTCATAAGGAACTGTGAGCTGTAATCAGCTTTATCCTTCCAGCCCAGAGCACTGCCTAGGCACTCAAATATTTATGAATATATTGATATTCATGTCACACAGATCAGATCAAGACTGCTTCTGCTTTTCCATCTCATATTTTTCTCATTAAACATTTTATAGCACTGCTTCAATCTATATTTAATAGCAGTGTTTATTAAATCTATTATTTCCAATATCTCTGTTTTTAGTAAATAGAAACAGATATTAAGGGACAAAAAGATATGACAAATACAACCAACTTGTAAATGCCTCAGAGGAAAAAAAAATGTGTATGTACAAAGAATGATAAATGATAAAGAATGAGCGGAATGTTAACAGTTAGCAAATCTGATTAGTGAACTTCCCCATTCTTTGTACTTCATATGCTTTCAAATTAAAAACCTTAAAAAATAGTTTTCTCTAGACTCAATCTTGCATAAGTTCCCATTATGTATATCCAAAGGCTTACTAGTTAAATTGTTTAAAAAATCTAAATCTAAAGTATTCAAAAGATGACTATATATACCATATTGAACAGTATGACAAAACAACATACAGTTATTAAGGCTCAAGATATCCTTATAAGAAATGAATACATGAAGTAATAAAATAGCATACAGACAAAAATTCTGTCAATTTATGTTATCATGTTAAGAAAAATGAATGGAATAATAAACCACAGTTGATTTAATATTAACTAGATTCCATTTCTACAAAGTACTTAACTATTTATTACCAACAACTTTACCCCAAATTCAGCCTTACTTACACTTTACCATTACATAAATCTAAAAGCTGTGCTCAAATCATGTAGAAAAATGAATTAAGGGCCAATGTTCTAAACTTTCTCATTTTCTGAAATTTCATTTGCATTATAAAATTATCATCCCGAATTGATCTTTCAAAAACTTTACTGTTTGCAAGCCAGAGTCCTTGGGGTAAAAGGGAAAGCACATGTACTGAAAAGCATTAACCTTAACCCAGGAGCTAAATCTTTATCACTGCCTTGTACCCAAAGTAGTGGTTACAAATAAAATACTTCCATGTGACAGCAAAACATTTTAGTTACTTTAGAAAAAGATGAGCTGGGTGTGGTAGCTCATGCCTGTAATCCCAGCACTCGGGAGCCTGAGGCAGGAGGATTGTTGTGAGTTTGAGACCAGCCTGGGATACAAAGTGAGCTTAAGGCCAGCCCGAACTGCATAGTGAGACCCTGTCTCAGAAAGACAAAAAAAAAAAAAAAAAAAAAGAAGAAGTAGAGGTTTATCACCCATTCTTTCACAAAAACAGATGAGCAGTTATCTTTTACTGAGACATGTCTGTATTTTTCACAAATATTACACTGAAAATAACCATAGTATGATAAAGAAGAATGTAGAGCCTGGGGCTACCAGTGCCTGTGGTCAAGTCCAATACGGCCGTTCACTAGCAGAGTGCTTATGGACTTATTTAACTCATTTCCTTAAGTATAAAATGATTAAAAAACAGCATTTGTCACCAAAGGTTTCTATAAGAATTAAATTATAATTTTAACCACATTATTCTAAGAATAGAAAACTGTCACAAGTCATTTGTATTTTATTTAAGGCTTAACTGATTTCATTTGGAGTTAAAACTTCTAAAAAATATTCAAAAATATACTAAAACACCACCAGATGGGGATGTTGCTGCATAAACCTTTGGCGACCTCTGCCGTGTAGTTCAGTCCATAGCTCTGGCTTTGTGAGCACTGGCCGGTCTGCTGGTATCTTGATTCCCCTTCCTTTGAGCTCAGCTAAACTGTCTGGGTTCAAATCCTTGTGCAGGTGATGTAGTCACTCTCTGCCTCTGCTCCTTTTACTGTAAAATAGGGGTAATGGTACCAATTCCACAGGGTGGGTTACACAGAGTCAGTATGTTAAGACATGCAGAACACAATGCCAAACGGAACAAGCACTCAGTATAGCAGCTTTTCTTTTCTACGCCCTTTTTTCTTTATTCTTCTCCTTTTACTGGCCATTATATAGTCAGTAAATGTTCATATGCTCTTAAAACCATTTCCTTTATACTTTACAGCCCCTATTAACTTTAAAAACAGATGAATATAATTCTATCCTTGTTAAAAAAAAAAAGTCCCCTATCAGTCCTCCAAAAACCCAAAACAAAACAGAAAAACGAAGTGAATCAAAAATCAAATGAGGACATTTTTACTTCTGCAGAGAAAAATCCCACACAGATTTCAAAGAAATATACCAAGAAAGAGAGTGCATGTGCCAGTGTTTGCTAGAGGACATGTTTGAAAAACGTTTATGTGAACTAGGCTTTTCTTTGGACTTTACCAAACCTTCATCTTCTTTCACCTGAGAGCTATTCCTGTTGCTATTAAACCTCAATAGGTCAATGAAACTCAATTCGGCACCAAGCTGGTATACGTGAATAAATTTCAATGCAATGGAGCCACTAGACTTTTATGAGAAAGGTAGTTACAATAAATAGAAATGAACATCTAATCTGGAACCTTGATACCAGTGAGATCACATTCCAAATGCTACAAAATACAACTGTCTTTTTCTTTTTTTTGTTCACAAATTAGCTCTTGAAATAGTTCTAGAAGGTGAAGAGAACTTGGGCTTTCACTGAAGTTATGATACACTGTGTTGCACATTAGAAACTAAAAAAAATTTTATAAGCTAAAAATTTTAAGTTTTTTACAGCTCTATCAGGCAATTTTTTCATCATAACAAATCAAGTTTTTTTAAACTTTTACTGCTTATTCAGCAAAACCTTTGAAATCTGCTATAAACTACACTAATAGCTTTAAAAAGTCATTTCTTTCCTTCCTTCCTTTATTTATTTTTGAGATAGGGTCTTCCTATGCAGTTCAGGCTGGCTTCAAACTTGTAGCAATCCTCTTGCCTCAGCCTCTCAAGTGCTGGGACTATAGATGTGCACTACCATAACTGGCTAGCATTTTCTTCTTTTTTTTTAGTCTTTTTGAGATAGGGTGAAGGCTGGCCTTAGCTTACTTTGTAGCCCACGCTGGTCTTGAACCTGCAGCGATCCTTTGGCCTCAGCCTCCCAAACACTGGCATTTCAAAAATACATTTACTGATGTAAAATTCTCAATTCACAGGAATAATTAAATTAAATGCCACCCAAAAATAAAGGAACATTTTAGCATTAACCTTTAATCTGTAAATCTTATTTTACAAAAACTTTTATAATATGCAATTATCACTTTATAAACTGTTTTCTTACTGAAATATTTTATTAATTAACATGAATAAACTATAATGAGTAAATGAAATGCAAGATATATTTCACATGGGTTGAGAAACAGACTTTGCTAGTATTTTAACTATGTTGAATTCTAGTTTTTAAAACTTAGCAAATGATCATTGTTAAAGAACTTCAAATGAACACTAAAATTATTGATTTTTATGTGTATCCATGGTGAATTTTTATACTGAAATGTTTTTTAACATTCAAGAAATAACCTTTTTTTTTTTTTTTGAGACGAGATCTTATTCGCTATGTAGTCTATGCTGGCCTCGAACTCATAGTGATACTCCTACCTCAGTCTCCTAATTCCTGGGATTATAGGTATGTGCCATTGTGCCTGGCGAAATAATAATTTTTTAACAAACATGCTTTAAAATTTTGGTGAAAATCAGTAAGCATGTGGCTTTAGAATTCAAATACAGACTTCTCAGGTATTTGACCTACTTAATCACTTTAGTCCTGACCTGGATGGACTAACTCATTTATCAAAGAAATAATAGGATGATTAGAATGAGGCTTAAATGAAATAGCACATGAAGCACAGTATTTCAAAAAAATCTAGGGAAGAAAAAGGCAGGGGAAAAAATACATTCTTCTTAACGTGGAAGTGTACTGTGCCAATCTCTGGGGACTTTCAGAAGAAAGCAGGAAGAGGAGCCACACTTTTGTTTACTGCAGATAGTTTTAGTTGCCACACTGGCACCTGCAGAGTAGAGACCAGGGGTGCTGCTAAACATATAAAGCACAGACCAGCTGTTCATTACAGAAAGACATTGAGCCCAAATGTCAATAATGGTGAGGGCAGAGAAACTCCATCTGACCTAGAAGGACCAGATGGAGTTCAAGTGTGGAACGTGAGCCATCTCCTAAGTCCAAGCCCTTTTGCTACAAGTGGGTTGCTTTGACACTGGCAGCCAGATACAAGCTCTCCACCCAGTGGACTAGAACAATCTCCTTGCAGAACATAAATGTCCTAAGAGCAAAGACTTAAGAAATAATCCCAAAGCAGAAACTTAGAAGCAAGCTGATGTCTCAGAGAGAAAACATAGTAAGACTACAGAGATTACCTACAACTGAAATATATAGTCATTATGGCATGCACATTCCAAGAAACTATATTGAGAGCATGGAGAAACAGGAGGAAAAAAGCAAAGGAGTAGTGTGTGAGACGGATAGATTCTCATCTCCTAGAGTGAGAAGGCAGCAGATAATACATACAATGAGGAATTTTAAAAAAATCAAGAAATACTGATTTAATGACCCAGAGGTAAACACCATAAAAACCAGCTGAAACGCTAGAAAGTGCTTATCTCTGGGAACAGAAAATGATGTGTGCAGTTTCTGAACTCAGTTTTTTTTTTTTTTAAATTGGTACCAGGGATCGAACTCACGACCGCCTGCTTGCAAGGCAGGTGCTTATGCCGCTGAGCTAAATCCCCAGCCCAACTATTTGACTCTTTAAGGAGTTTTTTAATTCCATGCATGGAAAACTAATTTTTGAAAACTATATTCAATTTTAAGAACTTGATACTTGGGCTTGCAATCTATTGCGCTTATCCCAGTTTACTTAATTTGAGTTAGAACAGAATAGATCCAAAACTGAAGCAAATTCCAAGTTTGTTTAACCATTTGGTTTTTTTTTTTTAAACCTGTGGGCAAGGTAAAGGAACAGGAGAGGTAAGATTTTAGAATGTTTCTTTGTTTTATCCCTGGTTTACTTACTGTAATGGTTTAGATTTCTAAGGGTCATGTCTGAACTATAATTGGGTCATGGAAACAGTATGCTCATCAGTGGATCCACCCATTAATAAACTCAGTACCTTGCTGTTCGGTTAGGAGGTGAGTCACTGAGGACAAGATCTGTAAGAGTGCTTTCTCATACCCAATTCCTGCCTTCTTTCTGTTTCCTGGCTGCTGTGGGTCAGATACCTTTTCTCCACCATGTCCCTCTGCCATCTTGTTCCTGCCTTGGAGGCTGTACCCATGACCAAAACAGAGAGCCAAAGTAAACTCTTCCACCTTTAAGTTGTAGATGTTGGGTACTGTGCCTCAGCGAGGGGACAGTGACTAAAACCCTCACCAAACCTTATGTTAAAAGTGTAAAAAATGCTATAGTATCGAAAAACAGTATCTTTGTTCCATGTATACCACCACATATCATTTGAAGAATATTTGTTAGGAGACATGGACTTTTCCCTTCATTTGTCCTTGTATTATTTGAACTTTGAGTGTATTTTATAGACATATACAGACACACACACTGCAGAACAGCCTTACTGAACAGCTCATGCCCTGTCCTCAGACCCCTTAATCCATCTCAGAAAAATCTGAGGAAAGTCATATTAATATACAAGACAGAATGATGAGGAGCATGCACCTTTTTAAATAAAGCACTGCTCGAACCTCAGCACCTACATCTGAAAGACATAAAGACAAAGTAGCTGGTGCAAAACATAATTCTCAGGTGTCATAAAGTAGAAGCCAAGTTTCTCCTATTTTTTAGATCAATATGATTCTTTGAACCACCTTATGAGGAAAGTAGACAAACAGTACTAACTGCAGTTTTCCTGAGAGACATTGACATTTAAAGGGGTTAAATAACCTGTTTAGGTCTCCTGAACAATAAGAAGCAATGAAAAATGCACAGAAAGCAGTTTTTAAGTTCTCTATAGAATATCTATATATCAATTTAGTAAAGTTTAATTTTAAATAAATAAAACCTTTTTAGTGATATGATTTGCTTACTTTCTTTGCCATAAAATTCATTTATCTCCATTCCACACTGATTCATGTTTCGTTGTATTCCATAGCATCAAAGTCATAAGAACAACAGTTGTTGATGTTATTGACATAATTAAATCAGTTGAAGAAAAATATCAATAATCAAATAAATATAAATTTTAAATTTCCCTGTAATTTCTTAAATGTTTTACATTTTATATTACTGATTATTCACAGATTCTTTTACTCTATTGTACTAACTAGACAGTATGTAAACACAAATTCACTGAAAAAGCGCCATTATCTATTTGGCACTACCCTACTATAAAATTGTTGTCTTAATGAAAAGAACTCAATGAAGAATCCTCACCAAATTCAGCTCTAGTCAAACTTATCACAAATCTACTTCCTAACCCTTACTGCACCACACTCAGGGCAGCTTCTAATGTCTATTCATATAACATCCATTTGATTCTCTGAACCACTCTATAAGGAAGACAAACCCAACAGAACCAAAGATAAAACTATTTTTTTTTACTTATGAGAAATACACATTTGATGAGGTTAAACAACTCACTAAGGTCCCATGAGTGGCAAAGAAAAAACTCACAAGCTTTCTGAGCCTACAAGCTCTTTCCACTATTCTACGCTGACTCTGGTGACAAAAAATGATATAAACTCTGAAAACCAGTACCTATTTCTTGGGTTTTTTTTGGAGATACAGTCTTGCTATGTAGTTTAAGCTGGTCTTGAACACATTATGAGGCCCAAATTGGCCTCAAACTTATGACAATCCTGCTTCAGTCTCCTGAGTGCTGGGATTACAGGTGTGCATTGCCATATCTGGCTTGAAAACTAGAATTTTAAAGGACTATAATGAGGATATAAGTGCTTTTCTTATGTTCTCATTTTACAATGTACTTTAAAAAGTAATTATTATCAATTATTATCAGTTTAGTAGTAATTATTGGTTTGCAAATTGTATTTCAAATTTTAAACTATCTGAAATAACTGATGTTAATTCAAGGACTTTCAAAAAATCATGAAGAATAAAAAGAAGAAACTAAACGTTTTCTAAATCATCACTGTGACATTACCATGTGTTAATGTACTCCTTCTGTAGTCTGATTTTAAAACTTAAATCAGAAGTATTTGTGACAAATTTTAAATGCTGTATCAACAAAGTTAATCAAAACTACATTCTTTTAAAATCATTTCCCTTTATTTAATACTAAAGAAGAGAAAAAAGTTCCATCTGTTTACCTCAGCAATTGGCTGCCCCTGAGGTGTTAGGTCCAATTCCTGAGGGCGTGTCACTTTATCAATATCCAGAGAGTCCATGCTGGAGGCTGCAGAAGTGACACTAGAACGAGAGGAGTTACTCATAGAGCGCACTTCAGCATCGCTCACTGTGCCCGCAGATGCAGTTCTTCGGTGCTGATTGGTAACCACTGGCTTAGTGTCTTCTAGTACTGACTGCTGAGCAGCCTCATCCATGCTCAAGGAGGCCTGTTCTAACTGTGCAGTGATGTCATCCAGGGAGTAGTTAGCATGGGAAGGTTTAGCTATCCTATTAGACGAAGAAGACAGTCCTTTTAAGGTGCCGTGTTTTGATGGATGTCGGCTAGCAGCTAATTTCTGAGTAGCTTTTGGTTCTGTGATTTGTCGCTTACTACTTCCTGAACCAATACTACTGAGCTCCTGCTCTATAGAGCAAAGATCGGCCATCAGTGCATCCAGATCCACAGTCTCTCCTTGACTCAGAGCTTCTGCAAAGAATAACACAGGTTTCTGAACACCATAATCACAATTTACACATTTCACCGTGAGTCAGTTAAATGCAGAAGAAGCAAAAGATTTCATCCCAATGGGCCTAAAAATCAATCAAATAAAATGCTTCTAACTGTTGTTTGTTTTAAATTCCAAAGGAAATTTTCATAAGCAAATAAAAGCATCTTTTAAGATCACTAGTATAAATTAAAGTTATGTATTCAAAGACAAAAAAATTACAGAAACTTAGTATTACACAAACTCCATAGTTTTAACCATGTGTCCCACGCAGCATTTTAACCACAGGTTTTATATGGTCAATGGCTGCATAAAGATGCTACTATCAAAGGAGCTATGGGCATAAAAAGAGAAGTCAAAGTCTAAAAAATACATATTGGAATGCTAATTCCAAATACCATAAAGCTGACTAGGTAGAGCAATATTTTGGCCATGAGCACTGATCATAACATTATTAATAAATAATTTAATTGAACTTAAACCCAGTGAGAAAACAACAATACCATTAATTTGCTATGAGGTTCCCATTGAGTATGTATTTGTTAACTACAAAAAAAAAAAAAAATCAGAAAACTATTATGGTCCAGTTTTTTCTTTTCTGTGACAATTTGAATTATTATCATGTACAAATAAAAAAATAGAGAACTCAGTCAAGTTATGCATATGTTTTGAAATTATAGTGTCATTTTTCCTACATTATATAAATTAATATACTACTGTGTACTTTACTTAATTACATCTTACCATTCAAGTTGTATATGGAGAAACGGTAAGAAAAATTGGCCATGTTTGTTTCCTGGCGAAGAGGAGATCTTTTTACTGGTTCTACGGATTTGTCAGAATCCAAACTCTATAAAAGAAAATTTAGTAAGTCATACTAAATTCAGGTTTCAGTTACATGAAACTTTGTAATTAAGTGAACTGCTATATAATAAATGAAACTAAAGTGTAAGTAATAGCCTTAAGGAAAAGTACATTTAAGTTTCACAGCATTTTTATTATAATCATTTCAGTTTTTATATATATACTTACTTTTAGGGCACCTAAGACTGCCAATAATGTTCTCATTGTCATGAAATTAAATTTAATAAATGTAACCATTTCTACAAATTGACTAGAACACAGAAGGTATTAATTGAAGGAATAAAACCTGTACCCTTTCATCTTAAATTAGTATTCCAGTTTAGAAGATAGGAGTCATCATAATCATTATTTTTATTTTTTGGTACTGGGGATCAAACTCATGACTGCATTCTTGCAAGGCAGGTGCTTATGCCAGTGAGCTAAATCACCAGCCCCATCATTATTCTTAAAACTCAAGATCCAACAAAACAAAATGAAGAAAACTTTGCCTGTTTTAAATGCATTTGGGAATGAATTTTTATCAGTATTATGGAAATACTCAATAGAATATACTGACATGAGGAAAGTACGGTGTAAAATGTGTTTAAATTTACTAAGTATAGAGTAAGATTTATTAAAATTTTGACTTAAATTTTAGATTTTAAAACTTTTTAGTGCTAGAAATCTCAGGTTTATGTAACAGATATGAAGTAATTGGTCTAGATGAACAGAACTTGTATTACAGTATTCTTTTAAAAAATACCCTTAGAAAAACCATAGAAGATATTCTTGGGTATTTTAAAATTTAATCTGTATCCACATTCTTATATCCGCACGTTAGACTTTTAACACTCTGATGGAGGCTCCCAAATGGCAAATCAGTGAGTGCCAGCAACTCAGTTCCTTCCGGACAAAGTGTCTGCAGTCTGGAAAACAGTAGCATGGAGAGGAACTGAAGTGACTGGAGGTTACCTGGGAACCACCAGGGAGCTGAGAGAAGAGAAGAAAACAGGATTATTACCTATTATCAGAAGAAATAGACCACACTTTGAAGAAGAGGTGGCCTTTTTGCTCACAGAGAACCAGAGAACTGCACTGGGATTAAAAGAATCTTTGGCAGTTGGAACCAGGCAGGAGAATGTGGGACACTGTTTCCAAAGTGACCTTCCACAGTGAACAGTTGATCAGTGACCTCAGTACAGCACTTGCAGCCACAACTGTGGAGAAAGAGCTGGTAGGGACACCTTTTAGGAAAGGGCTGATGTCTGAATCTGGGTCCCAGAGCAGTCCTCTGGCTGCTTCACACTGCCAAATTCCCAGGATGGATGCAGGAAGGACAGTTACACAGGAGATAGATGGCAGGGGGAGAGCAGGGGCTGATGAACACACGCCTGGCTTCTGCAGTCAGAGGCCAGCTTTGGCCTGAGGTACACAGAACTGGACACTCACACTGGGGTCATGTTTTCACTGCAAGCAGATCTCTACACCCAGTACCATCTGGAGGCGGACACTACCTTAGACTTCCAGTGTGAATAGAGATATCTCCTAGCCTGAGCTCTGCTCTTAACCTTCGGCTGGGGAAAAGAACCATACACCCCAAAATTTAGAAAAATTTCTTTTATTATTCTTTGATTGTATTATTTTAAAATTTTTAATTATTTTCTTTTTAAAGAAAATTTCTTTTTAATTAAAAAATTTTTAAAAATTCTTCACTGTTATCCTTCTGTATATTTTCTACATGTTTTTTGCATTATTTTACCCATTTTTTAAATGAGCATGTCTGTGTCTGTGTGCTTCTCTTCCATTTACCTTTTCTCTTCCATTATAGTTTATACAGGATAAGGGAATTTTCCCTTGTCCTTTACCATCTCTTCTATTTTTATCCGTATTGTTTTGCCTTACTTTTTTTCTCCTCTGTTGTTATTCATCCTCAATTTTTCTTTTCCCTTCCCCTTTTCATTTGACTCCCTTTAATTTTTTCTCTAATATTTGTATCAGTCATGGGATCCTTTCCCATGCCCACTTCTCACTACCGATTTTGTACCCAGTTTTCTGTTATCACCTTGTAAATATATAACATACCCTTACCATCATTAGGCTCCTTTACCCTCCTCCATTTTCTCTTGCCCATTCAACTAGTAGGCAACTTAAAAATTCTTTTCTTCTTTTTCCTCTTCTCTTCCCTCCTCTGGCAATACCCTATCCCCAGACCCTTGGGCTTTAGATAACTGATTCTATAAAACTCTGTTTTTCACCATTAGAGGAGACAGAGACATCACTAATTTGGGTCAAGATTTGGGTTGCTATGGTGTTTACACTATAGCTGTGGATTTCTTTTCTAGTGAAAGGAGACTCAAACAGGATCTCATGGTATGTTATTTCTCAACCAGCCCTGATAGATACCACTATAATGGCTTAGTCTGTTACTACTGTAGCTGATTTGATTACATTGGAATAATCCTGACTCAGTTGACGATTTGGTGCTAGTGAATCTGTCTGACAAATCCACCATCACACCTAGCGAGATGTACAAAGAAAGCAAAAACGATTAACATCAACATAATTAGAAGTGAAAAAGGTGAAATCATAAGACTGTAAGTAATTTAAGTAATTATTTAAAATTATATCCCTACAACTAGTAAATTTTGAAGAACTGCATAGATTCCTAGACACATACAAATTACTAAAACTAATGCAAGAAGACATGAATACACTTAACCAATAACAAGCAATGAAATTGAGACAATAAATATGTACCAACTAAAAAAAGATCAGAACCTATGGAACTGACTCCTGAATTGTATAAATCTTTAAGGATCTTGTATCAGCAATACTCCCCAAGCTCTTCAAAATAACTGAAAGGGATGGAGTGCTCCCAAACTCATTTATAGAAGCCCGTACTGTTCTGATCACAAAACAGGAAAAAGTCCCAATTTCCTTAATGAATATACATGCAAAAATCTTCAACAAATAAAACACAGCAATTATCAAAAGATTATGTCATATCAGGTAGATTCTATCCTAAGAGGTACAAGGGTGGTTCAATATATGTTAGTCAAAATAAATGTAATGCATCACATAAACAACAAAAAGGTCAAAAACCATATGATCATATCAATAAAGGCAGAAAAAACTTTCAATTAAACCCAATATTCCTTCATGATAAAAAGTTTGTCATAACTTTTATCACATTTGGCTATGGTCCTTCTACACCTATTTTCTTTACTTAGCATTTTTATCATGAAGGAGCATTGGGTTTCATTGGAAGTTTTTCTGCCTCTATTGATATGATCATATGGTTTTTGACCTTTTTGTTGTTTATGTGATGCATTACATTTATTTTGACTAATAAGCAGTGTTGAGTAAACTGGTAATCGGTATGCAGAAGATTGAAACTGAACTTTTATCTTTCATCATATACTGAATTAAAATAAAGACAAATCAAAGATCTAAAACATTAAAACAGAAACATTAAACATAAAAGAAAAAAACAGGTAAAACATTTCAAAACTAAAAATACCTTCTATGCAGCAAAAGAATCAATCAGTAGAGGGAAGAGATAACCTGCAGAATACGGAAAAAAATTTTTTGCCAGCTACTCCTCAGACAGAGAACTAATATCTAGAGTATATAAAGAACTCAAAAAATTTAAACCATCTAAAATTAAAGATCCAGTCAAGAAATGGACAAGAGAAACGAACAGATACTTCACAGAAGAAGAAATATAAATGGTTAACAAATAAATGAAAAAGTCTCTGGCCATTAGAGAAATGCAAATTAAAACAACACTAAGAGTCTATCTTACTTCAAAAGAATGGCAATCATTAAGAAATTGAACAATAACACATGCTGGTAAGGCTGTGGTGAAAAAAGAATCCTCCTTCATAGTTGGTGGGAATGTAAACTAGTATAATCATGCTGGAATCTGTAATGGAGATTTCTCAAAGAACTGAAATCAGAAATTCCCTATAACCTAAAGATGCTAGCTAGATATCCTGTCCAAAGAGCTTAAGACATCATACTACAGCAATGCATCATACCAATGTTTATAGCATCACAACTCTTAATACCTAAATCCTGGAAACAACCAGTATACACATCAACAGATGATTAGATAAAGAACATGTGTGTCTATATATAATGGAATAGTACCATGCTATAAAGAATGACAGATCTGAAACATTGGTAGGAAAATGTATAACGTGGAAAATATAATGTTAATTAAAATAAACCAGAGACACCAGCTGAAATACATATGCTACCTCTCATTTGACTGAGGTAAAGTATAAACAAAGAGAATGATGAAGGATGGATAGAAGGGGACAAGGTGATGGATCTCTTGCAATGGAGAAGTGGTCCAAGAGAAGAAAGTATGAGGGGTGAGGAAAAGGAGAGAGACATAAGTAAAATAAAGATATGTCATGTAAAAAAACTAACAACCTCAATTAATGTAAATATTATATGCCATAACATGAGCTAAGATAATTAACATCAAAGAGAATGAAAAATGGGATAGGGCAATTGGAGTGGGGAAGAAAAGGGATTAAAAAATCTGTAGTATGTACATGTAAACACTCCCCAAGATGTTTGCAAACTGCAAGAGCTGTGAATATATCTTTAAAAAACCCCCCCAAAAACTCAGTGATGACTTGAAATCCTCAACTAATTTTTCAAGCACTATTACTAACCTGTGTGAGTTTGTCCAGTTCCCCAAGCCAGGCTCCAAACATTTTGTCCAGGTCCTGATCTTCTTTGTCACTGTCTTCTTCAGCACCATGGTCAATTTCTTCATCTGATAGCTGCTCCATCTGAAATACATTTATGTGAATGAGTAGTTACAAATTAACTTGCAAAAATATGTGACAGAAATTTTATTACTTAGTAGGATTTTTTGGAATCAAATATTCAATCCAGAAATTACTTTAAAAATTAAAAGATATTAATGGGGACAAAGTTGCCAAGTGAGTAGAAATTATAATAAAGTATCAAATTCTTCAGGAAATTGTGAAAGAAAAAGCAAATTCTATCAATTATGATCTTAAAGAGAAATAACAAAATAATCATACAGCACACTCCCTTCCATACATAGAGTAACTGTAGCATAATTCTCTCCATTGCATACATACTGTAAGACAGCCAACACAAGAGATGTAACTTCAGAAGACTTTAATGCAGCAAGTTATTATGTTAGGCATTTTGTAGAAATTCTGTTCAGATACACGCCGATATGAATCCCATAAGATCTTAGTTCAAAAGGCATTTGAGAGAAAGCATAAAACACATTTTAAAATTTAACTTCATCTGTTGAATTAGTTCCTCTTCCTCCTATCCTGCCCATACTTTCTACCCCATGTCTCCTTTCTCAATCTCACTTCCCCATTTTTTTCCCCTAGAAAATCCTTGGAGAAAACAAAATTTAGGTTTAAATTTACATACAAATTCTCTAAAAGTGGCAGCTTTTCAAATAAATCCTTTGAAAGAAGAGATTATTTTCCTTCTTCCCATTAATAAAATGATGTGATATCTGATGTGGAATTTGCACATTACTTTGTAATAATGAAGGGATTTATACAAAACAAGATCAGTGACTAAGGTGACCAATATAAAATATTTCAATATTAAAGACGCTGAAAATTCTTCAAGTAAAGTTTGGCTTTACTTGTATAAGCACAGTCCAACTGTATATGACTGTAAATCTTTTTTCCTTAAACTCCAGGTAACACCTGTTACTTTTCCTCCTAGGGTCAAAGTAAGTTCATCATTATACATTACATTAAAATACTCGACCCACAGCTCTAAAACAGTTTTCCCAATGGATCCAGGTAATATTTGGCATATGACCAATAAGTTTAGTATAAATAATTTCTCAGACATTATGTAAATACATGGGCTTTCCATTAGAAACGATAGCTAATGTGATGGTACCCATCTGCTATGATTTAAATATGCCCCTAGTAAAATTCAGGTCCTGCATTGTGATTATACTGGCCTTTTGAGTGAGGCCTTAAAAAGAGTGACTAGTCCAAAAGAAATGTTCTGTGATGAGCGGGAATAAGAACCTAACTCCTGTTCTCTGGAGGATGCAGCAAGAAGGCTTTCACCTAACACCAAATGCCAGTACCTTGATCTCAGACTTCCCAGCTTCCAAAACTGTGAGAAACTGTATTTCTGTTCTTTACAAATTATCTAGTCTTAGGAATGGTGTTGCAGGAGCACAGACAAAGACAACACGTTCTATCTCCAAAACAACAAGTCAACGAAATTATCTCTGTGATCTTTATATTACCTTTTATGTGTCATGAAGTTAAGTTTCAAACCTATTTCACCAACATTTTGCAAAAAAAATGCTATGCATTAAATTGAACTGACGTAATTCTTGAAAATCAAATCCTATTCCATTTAATCAATGGATGGAATTAATTTTCTTAGGTCTAGTAACAGGAAGAGCCATACTTTATCAATATCTCTATTAGAAACTGATAATCTCTATTTTTTATCTTTTATCACCCTAATCATACATAAACTGGGGCATTTGAAAATGATAATGGATCTATACCAATTCTCTAATTCATAATGTCAGCATTAAAGGAGATTTGGCTTTTTAATTCATTTTTGATAATATCATTTTTAATAACTACATAATTTATAGCTCAATTTCAAATAGAAATATGATATAAAATTCACTGTGATCTACCTATGAAAAACATAAAACGTTAATGAAAAGAAAACCCTTATTTGACCAGGTGACTTAATGTTTAAGTAATTAAATTCGAGAATAGATAAGAAGAACCCAGTCTTTATCACAAAGGCCAATAAGCAATAGAATCTGGAAACAGTAAAGCTGTTTTTCCCTAACCACTATAGTAACTCAGAGGCTAAAATATTCTAGTAAGAATTCTGCTTTGAGATAGTCATCCTTATTTCTAATTACATTTTACAGTCTCAAAATACATTTAAATAACTAGGCCTATTGTACTACTGTACCCAACAGATGATATGCTCACTTTTGACAGTAGTTTTAGTATCTTTTATGAATATTCAAGTGAAAAATACATAAAACACTAATTTCTGGAGACCTTGCTTCAATCCACAGTAAAAATCTGGTTACACGACACAATATTCACCAGAGTGACCTACCATTAGGAAAATTTGTTTATGTATGAATACTGTGAGACACAGCATGACGGATTAATCCTGACAGTGGATGGGGAGAAAACATTATTAATCACAGACCTCTGTAAATCAGACACTGTGACAGATACATCATTTCCATTTCACATATGAGGAAAGCAGGTAGAAGAGGGCACTAGATGTTCTTGGAGAAGGAAAGGACGCTTCAGATCCTCCACCACTGCAATAAAATCTATGATTTTAGTCATCTTACAGATGAGTGCTTCATATAAGATTTAATTTTAACCGAGTTCATTTTTCTAATATAAAAAGGTTTAAAGTCTGCACTTTTCTTCTGCCCACACAATAGTCTCCTGACCACACAATATAACTGTGTGGTCACTAATAGGAAACTATTACATTGGGTGGAAAACAAAGATAATTTTACAAGGCAAATATAAAATAATTCAAAATGAATATGAATATTTTAAATTATCATGGTGCCAAAGAGAACTATAAAGTTCTCTATCCAGGTCGCAGGTGAGTTTTCATACTACTTAAATGTGTTTTTTAAAATCCTTTTAAATATTTTCATTAATAATTTTTCTTTATCTAGACTATTATATAATTGAGTACAAGCAAATACAGCTAGAAGAATGAAAAGTCCTAGAGTAAGTGAAAATTTAAGTAACTACTGTTACTACTTATGTTACTTGTCAATTCTCTCCTTTTAAAAATTTACCGTACATTATTTTCTAAAAACTAACAGACTTATTCAGAAACTCTTCCAGTTAAAAAATTTCAGGTTCTGCACAGCTTGCTTAGCATGTATGGAGTTCTGGGTTCAAGCACCAACCCTATGAAAAAAAAAATAGGTACCACAACATTTCTTAAAGATTTTACTGGTTGGGGATACAGCTCAGTGGCACAGTGCCTGCCTGCCAAGCACAAGTTTCCAAGTTTGATTTCCAGTACCAAAATAAATAAATAAAAAAGTAAAATAGAAAAAAATTACCATTCTCCATTCTCTGGAAGCAATGCTGATGATCCTTTTCTCTATCCCTCAATATGGTATCATTTCTATTTATTATTTCCACCACATGAATCGTCTCCAGCAAGTGTTTTTTGTTTCGTTTTAAATAGGCCCTGCAATGTCTAAAGTCACAAATCTAAGGAAATTCACTCCTGTTTCCTAATTCTTTGATGTTCATCCTAAAAATTGCTATATTTTATTGCCAATTAAATTACAATTCTTTTAATCTAAATTTCCCCAATACAATACCCCTAAATGGGAATGTTAATCTCACCAATCCAACAGTCAGCTTCTTCTGCAGTAAGTGGGTATAAAAATTAAGAAAAGAGAACTTATAACTATTTATTTATTTATAGACAGGGTCTTACTATGCAGTTCAGTCTAGCCTTGAACTCACAATGTAGCCTAGGCTGGCCTTGGACATGCAGTGATCCTCTTAGCTCATACTCCCAAGTGCTGAGATTGTAGGTGTGCATCACCACATTCAGCATAAATCAGTTTTTAAAAGACTCAAATTCTATGATGCTTTTCATTAATGATATCCAAATAGACTGTCATACATCTTATTAAATTATTCTGTGATTATTAGATTTGGTACTTTGGGAGGATACACTAACGTTTCACTTAAATTCTCTGTTCTCTTACATACGAAGGAAACCGTATGTAAGAGAAAGAGTACTTTACCTCAAATAAAGTTTCTACTCCAACAGTCAAACTTTCTGAAGACAATATCCAAAGTCAGGGAAAAATGGACAAAGCACAGTGAGAGCCAAACCTTCAGGGACCTCTGTCTTCCTATCCCAGTCTCACTCCTCTAGCGTTCCAGCCATACGGCCTTGCTTGCTGTTCTTTAGAAAACACAGATTTATTCCATTGCTCAGTCTTTGCAATGCCAAGTCTTCTGCCTGATATACCCTCCTCCAAATATAAGTATGCCTCGCTCTACTAAATGAGCATTCTACCAAAACAGCACCCTACCCTTGCTACTGTCTGTCCCTTACGGAGTTTTATTTTTCTTCACAGCACTTATCACCATCTGTCACATTTATTATCACTCTTCCTCCACTAGAAAGAAAGCTCCATAAGAGCAAGGGCCCTGGTTTCCTTCTGTAACTACAATACCTGGAATGGTGCCTGGCTCATAGCTGTGCCACTAAATGTTTGCTGAGTGAGTGTTCAACTCTGTATGTGTATTCTTATAAAGACGTGCAAGTTTTAAAGAGCCAGTTTAAACCCAAAGCTGCTGCTGCCGCCGCCACCACCACCACCACCACCACCACCAATGGCAACAACAAATCCACATAATAAAAGAACAAAAATGAACTAGAGTTCTATTCTTTAGGACTAAATGCATCTAACCTCACATTCTTTACTGACTTATATATGTGTTACTCATTTTTATATGAAGAAAATTAGGCTAAGAGAATTTAGATAACTTTTCCCAAGGTTCATATATAGTTAATGGCAGTATGAAAATCTGAATCCAGTATGTATGACTTATCCAACTATATTACTGTATTACTTTTTTGAAAGAGGTGGTTGTATTGGCTACCATGTGCACAGACAGATGAGATACACACACAACACCTCATTTTTCATCATTCACTTAACAAATATTTATTGAGCTGCCACTGCCTGCCAGGTAGTATTCTGGGGAGTAAGAAT